AGAGCTGGGACTCAAAGGCAGGACACTTGCCTCTACAACCCATGACTTTCCTCTCTGTCCTTGCACTGGGGCAAACCTCATCGGGGGACTTTAAGTTTGGAGTCTAATGTAGTCTCATTAGAGGTGCATTTGTCCTACTTTTACATCGTTGATCGCACATAGCAATTCAAATTGCTTATAATTAGTCACTGGAAGAGAAAGGAACTAAGATTAAATCATGAACTAATGCTTATTCAACACCACCTGGCTAGGCCTATATTAACAAAGCAAGGCCCACGAATGAGGTTGTTATTCTAATAATTTAGGCAAAACCCCTGCTGCTCTTCAATTGTCAGAATAATTACTTCAATTTTTCTTCGCATAAACCAGGGTTTTGCAACCTCAGCACGGTTGACATTTTGGGCTGGGTAATTCTTTTTTGTGGGGACCTGTCCTGTGCATTGTGGGATATTTAACAGCATCTCTGGCCTCGACTCATTAGCTGCCAGTAGCACTCCCCCAGTTGTGACAACCACAAATGACTCCAGACATTGCCAAATGTCCCCTGAGGTGCAAGATGGCCTGGTGAAGAACCAGCCATAGCAGACACATCCTAGGCATGGTGCTGGGGGCCTGGTGGATATCTAATAAACAGCCAAGAACAGAGCTACTGGATTTTGGTTTGTGTGAGCCAGAAATATAAAAGGGTAAGATAAAAACGCTTCCTTTCCCCTTCTTAATCAGGATTATGGAGGCAAACATAAGATTTGCAGCTTATTTGCCAACTGACTACCAAAAATGTCTGGGGTCAGCTTTAGTATATGTCTCAGACTGCTAACCTGCCTAACGCTTCATGGAAACAGATACTTTCTTCCTTGATATGAGACACACTAATGGCTAAGGAACGCTCACGGTCATTCTCAACAGCTTCCTCTTCCACATCTCCAGTTTCCCACAGGTCCCTGTTTATTATACTAGAAAACAGCACTTGAAGCTCTCACCTCTTCCCACCTCCTACTTCACTGTTTGAATTCAGGCCCTTGGTATTTGTGGCCAATATTACTGCTCCCTAAATCCTTGGCCCACTCCCTCCCCCACCTCAGACCATCCTTCGCCCTGTGGCCAAGAGTATCTTTCTAAGACACCAATTCTATTCCCTATTGACTTCAAGAGCACGTTTCAAAAAAGGATCCATGGAATCAAATACCTTTTGGTAATACTATATTAATCAAAATTTAACAGGATTCTTTACTGTTCTTTCACCAAGCCAATATACACTATTATGTAGAATTCATGATTTACCGTATTGTTAGACCCAGAGGACCTTTTCCTGAAAAAGTCCTTGGTATTTTTTTTTTTTAAAGATTTTATTTATTTATTCATGAGAGACAGAGAGAGAGAGAGAGAGGCAGAGGGAGAAGCAGGCTCCCAAGGAGCAGGAAGCCCGATGCGGGACTCAATCCCAGGACCCTGAGATCATGACCTGAACCGAAGGCAGACGCTTAACCATCTGAGCCACCCAGGCGCCCAAGTCCTTGGTATTAATAAGATACATTTGGGGGAACACTGACTTACGGGATTAAATTTAGTTTAAATAACATCATTGGTGTATGGGATGGCCAAGTATTATGCTAAACATTTGAGAAAAAAATTTAAAAAAAATACAAAGTCCATTCCCTCGATGAGCTTACATTCTCATGGGAGAAATCAATAGATAGACAAAATAAAACATGATAATTCCTAGAAGAGCAGTATAAAGAACTACTGGAGCACAAAGAAAGTCATATCTGAGTTGGGTTTTAAAGAGTAAGTAGGAGTTTTCCATTTTGGAGGCAGAGGAGCAGGATGGGAGAAGATGGACACATTTCAGGTTGCAGGGAAAAGTCAAATTATTCATAAGGCGTGGGGGAGAAGTGGAAAGAGATGAGGCCAGAAAAGCAGGTTACAGCCAGATTGTCAAGGGCTTTGCATGCAAGGAAATAAGTTTGGGCACAAGGTCAAGGTCAATATGTGGCCTTAGAAAATATATAAGCATATAAGCAGAAAAGCAACATGGTAAGAATTGTGTTTTGGAATAGCAACTTCATTAGCAACATTGCAGCTTGTGAGGTCAAAGCAGGAAGGCTAGTTAAGAGGCAACTGGAATAGTTAAACTGGTACCACCCAATGGTCCATGGACCAAAAGAATCAGCATTACCTGGGATCTTGTCAGAAATGCAAATCCTTGGGGCTCACCCTGGACTATGGAATCAGAATCTCTAGTGGTAGGGCCCTGGAAACTGTTTCAACAAGTTCTCCACGTGATGCTTATGTAAGCTAAATTTTGAGAAGGTCTGATCTAAATTACATATGAAGAAACTTGAACTAAAGCACTGGCAGTGGGGATGATGAGACCAGATTTAGATTTTTGAAGGTAGAATTGACAGAACTTACTAACCAATGGCATGTTGGAGTCAGGGAACAAGAGAAGTTGAAAATAGCTCTGAATTTACTAATTTGGGTGACTAGGTGTGTGGTGAGGTCCTTTAATAAAGATGAGGACTTGTTTTAAGTAGACTATAACAAGTTTAGCTTGTGTAGGTTAGGCTTGAGGCTCCAGTCAGACATTTGGGATAGATGGTCAGTGAGCATTTGGAACATGGAACTCAGAAGAGAGCTGGGGGCTAGTGACAGGGATCTGAGAGTCAGCACCATCTTTGAAATTACATGGGTTTTCCCAAGGAAGTGAAAAACAGTGAGATTCATGGCCAGACCCTGAAAAACACTGACATTTAAAGAATGAATGGAAAATTTAAAAAATAAATAAATACAAAAATAAAGAATAAATGGAGTGTAATGATCATGGAGACATAGAAAAATAGGAGAAATGTGTCACAGATCCATAGATAGAGCCCATTCTCCTTTATGCAGTCTAAAAGGCCTCCTGTTAATCTGGCTAACTCCCTACCCAAATTCCTTTCCTTCACCTTCCTCACCACATGCCTTACACGTCTGAAGTTTCCAGCATCCAGACCAACCACACCCTACTCACTGTTACCTCAGGACCCTGTCAAGGCTGTCTTCATTCTCGGGAATGCACCATTATTGACCTATCTTCACTCATTTCTGAATCTCCCCTTAACTCTCACAGCCAGGATTAACTACTCTGCTCCCTCGTGTTTTCCACCACAAGTTGTATCTGTCTTAACAGTTGGAACATTGCCGAGCAATTGCTTTTTTACTGTTTTATCTAATAAAGGGCCAGAGCTATAACTTATTCATCTTTTCATCTTCCAAAGAACCTAATATAAGACCTAGTTGAGATCCAATAAAAATTTACTACATTGGTGTAAGAATGCATGAGTCAGTGATCAGATGGATGGATTAAATAAATCATAAAGAATTGATAAAAAAAAAACACAGTATAGTATTAAGGTCTTTTTCCCTCAGGATCTTCTGGGTCCTGCTGATTTAGGGGTTGCTCAAATGTTGCATCCATTGGCAGTTCACTTATTCCTTCTTGTGCGCATGCTCTCAGGATTTACCTCACAATCACTGCCTTGTTGGAAAGTAAGCAATAAAGGGGACCTAATATACAACCTCTCCTAGAAGCATTTGCATAGACATGGTGAGAATCTCTTATTGAAGAATTTCAGACTGATATGGATGTATTTTGGGGTGCTGAGTGGGTTCTTTAAATCATCCCACATAAATGGTTCTCTACCAAACTAATACCAGGATGTTCTAGAAATGAAATTAAAAGTTCCACTTTATGGTTATTTCAAAGCCTGCAGTAAAAGCAAAGTAAAACTGTAAGAGAAATGTTAATGATTATATGTAAGTGTTCAGCATGAAATCTGAATCTTTCAAAAATTTACTTTAGGAAATTTCATAAAAATGGATGGTAGAAGAGATCTTATCTGAAATATTTCACTATAAAAATATTTCATTTATTTCCACCCATTTGAATTCCGTTCTGTTTAGATATTTAACATTTGATAGTTTTAAGAAGGACCAAATGGCTTGAAGTAACAACTTTCCACAAATTCATAACAGCTCTTCATCTGGTCACTGAGCTGAGAGCTGAGCCGGAGCCTGCAGACTCCCTTCAATATTGGGTTTCATTCCCTCCATCTTGTGCAGGCCGCTCTCAGAGAAAACAGCCAAGAAAAACAACCCAAGCACAAACGGCTGCAAATTGACTTGCAAATGTACAAATTCAGACCAAAAAGTGAAACAGGAAATCTTCTTTGAAGGGTAATTATCATAATTTATAATGGGCAAATCTAAACTCTTTCCAATATTTCTCTAAACTTTCCAGTGACTTCATTGCCCATGATTGGGAAGTTTTGCCACTTCCTTTTTATGTGTATTTTGAAAAACTGCTTAGCTCCTCAAATATGGGCAATTATCTCCATGACCTATAACTCAGAAACTAAATTATACTTCTCTCCCATTGGTACAAATTAATATTAGGCCTAGTAAAATAATTTGATTACAAAAAAAAAAAAAAAAGAAAAGAAAAAAAGGAATCAAAACAGCCAAGATATGCCTGGGGTAAGCTAGGTACTAGGGAATTTATATTTTAAAAGTTCCTGTGATTTCAAACGTTAGCTTAGCTTTTCATAAAAATGAAATGATGAGATAGAAAAGATACATATTAACTCTAAAATAACAAAAGAAATTACACCTCTGATGAATATAGTTCAGTTCAGTATACTATAATACAAAAAAAAAAAAAAGTAAAAATGTGTCAATTACGACTTAGTTTGCTATATGAGGAAGAAACTAAATGATTGGAAAAAAGGAACACTTAAAGCCACCACTTTGAAGCCTAGATTATCCAAATTGACTGTTTCCATTGACAGATTAAATGATGTTGCAACATTAACATTTCATGAGAAACCTTATAAGCACACACTTTAGAAAATTATGATTGTTGAACTGAATAACAGGCATAAAACATATAAAACAACTCACCCAGCCCCATATGGCTATTCTTTTTTCATCAATGAAACCCATTTCTATGAATTTTCTAAAGAAAAGAAACAAATTTTTAGAATTTTAAGTGTGTACACATGACATTTACTTCCTTACACAAGCATATTTAATCTGAAGATTTAATAGAAATGCTCCATTTTCTTTGTTTAAACACATGCATAATAACACTGCACTTAACAAATAATTAAAAGAATATTATCGTGTTTTCTGCAAAGGATAAAATGGATCCTTTAGACTCTACTGTACATCTGTTGAGTAGTACTTCTAAGGCTGCAGGTCTAGCATCCTGATTGTGTGAGCGAGTTACTTGGGACTCAGAGAGGTCAAGGCCCAGGCTTACAGTAACACAGGAAGTCATAGCACCACGACTAGGACCAAATTTCCAAATCCCCAGATTTGAGGAAAAAAAGATTTTTGTTATTGCTGCTTTAAATTTTATCAATCTTAAATGCTTAGATCTTAGTGATAATCACCACCTTGTTTTGGCATCCATGGAATAATATCCATCCCTCTCCCATTTCATACTTAGGGACCCTCAATTTATCATGGTATGGATAATTATGCATGTCTTTTAGGATATGGACATGATTATTTTGAGTTCCATCATAGAAGAGCCTTCCTTTGAAAACTGTTTTGAAAATAAATATCTTCTTAGGAGCAAGGGACCATGCTGAAGGGCAACCTTTAAAAAGTCATGGGAAGCCCTCAGAAATGCAACTTTGCAAAGCTGGTACAGGATAGGAATGTTTTAGGCTAATTTATCCCAGGCCTCCTTGAGGGTTGGTGTTCTAGAGCAATTGTGATTTATTTTGGGAATGGTTTGATTCCCAAAACTCAGGGAACTCTAAGAAAAACAGAAGCAGTGGAAGAAAAAAAAAATAAGGGGGATGAGCCATTGCAGAGACCAGGATGCGACAGTAGCAGGAAGGAGGGGAGGAGAACAAAGTAACACACAGGGAGCCAGAAAAATACGATTTTTTTGTTCCCTTTAGATATGTAATGCCCTTTCTCATTCTTCTCTGGAAGTAAAATGGAATGGTTTTATTAGTTGAATAATGGAGTTTCTTATAGGGATTTCACAGCAACCATTTTGCTTGTTGCATTGATTCAACATGCACGTTTCCAATGCACAGAGGAGTTGGGCAAATGCCCGGGACCAACAGATGGGAAGAAGCCCCGTCAGTCACAGCTTACCCTACACCGATTCTGAGGGACACTGAGGAGTCTACGGGGAAGAAATGCAGCAGCAAACAGAGAGTTGTTACCTGTGTGGATGCTGTTCATGGTAAAACAGAGAAAATGTGCAGCAAACTGTGGCATTTCAGCAATTCTTCCATTAACTTCAAAAGCCAAATGAAAGAGGAAAAGGTTCACTTTCTTTGTTAGGAAAAAAAAATCTTTCCACTACTGCTGGAAGACAGTTCTGAGCCATAAAATCAATTTCGATTTTATGATCTCCCAGAAGCTAGCAATCATATTGCCTTGCACCTGGGGTAAAAGCAAATAGCAGGTGATACATGGGAGCAGGAAATTCTTAACAGCTCCCTTCCTCGCTTTATTCTGGAAGGATGACATTTACAAGAAATGATAGTGCAATAGTTAACATGGAAATGAAACATTAACACTTAATGTGGCAGGACTAGGTTAAAGGTTAGCTAGATAATCTGAGCACTCTGAGGCCAAAAGGCTCCATAAAATTTACCTCCAAATTCTGGAGCGCTCTCAGAAGGGTTATCAGAAACACTATTGATAATGTGGTTAAATAAAGAAAAATGTTAGTAACAAATGAAAAAGCATTTTGGAGGCTGGACTGAACTTTACAACTTTTCTCGCATAAGAACGGCCCTAGACCAAAGGTCAATTTGGAATCCTAGGGATCAATTATTATTCTATTTTGGAATTGTCCTTATTGATACCATGTATAACAGTATGACATGATATTTTCTCACCACCAACCTTCTAGTTATTGTGGGAAATGTGGGAATGTCAAAAAATGCCAAATATACCCCAAATGAGTAGAACTGACCCTATAACTAACAAAGTTTATGGGTCCACGTATGTACCATTTGCAGGGAAGCCTGATGAAAGCAGTTCCCAGTTTCACTTACGCTTTGACCTCACAAGCATCTCCTTTGAAGCATTCTCTTTTGTGTAGTCAAAGTTGTGAGGTTGTCTGGCTGCTGTTGCTGCTTCTGCTTCTTCTTCTTCTTCTTCTTCTTCTTCTTCTTCTTCTTCTTCTTCTTCTTCTTCTTCTTCTTCTTCTTCTTCTTCTTCTTCTTCTTCTTCTTCTTCTTGTTCTTCTTCTTCTTCTTCTCCTAACCCTGCTTTGCTTTGTTTAAATCTATTTATTGATCCTGACTAGTATTTACTGCTGTTTCCAAATATGCACACATGATTTCTTTTTGGTATGTAAAAAATTTAGCCAGATTGCATTTTATATGAGATTGAAGGGGATACATTTTTTTCTTTTGTGGGAAGGTAATTTGAGGGCGACCATAAAGGGATGACAATCCCAATTCCCATGTCAGACATTCAGTGTCTGATTCCTAAAACACTTCTTGGCAGACATGTGGTTGAATTATTCCCAGGATAATCATTATAAATCTATCCTTTTTAGCTTTTGTTTTTTCAAAGCATCGGGGTCCAAGGTGTCCCTTTCACTTTTGCAGAATGATGCTTTCAAGCAAAGCAAGGCCAACCCCCAGTGCATCTCCACTGTTCTGTATATGCTTTGCATGGGCCCCACAGCCTCCCCTGGTTCACCAGGCTGTTTACTAAAAGTCCCATCTGACAGCAATGTCATCCCTTCAGAGTGCGGGGTGTGGGGTGGGGGTGTTAACCGTTTTACGAGGATTGTAAGTGCACTGAAAGTAGAAGTTGTAAGTTGCACAATTTCATACAGAGTGGATTGCAATGGCATATATTAATATTTGATCTGTTGTTGTTCAATGGCTGAGCAAATGAGTGAACATATGCCTGCTCTATAGCAGGAAGACTTTCTTCAGATTCCATCCTAAAAATGGCTCAGAGAAGGTAAAGGTAGCCAACTACTGCCTCTGGTCTATCTTCAATTTTAAATGCCAAAGACATTTATATTATTGTGAAAATTGGTACAATTTGTGGCTTCATGTCCTATATATTGAACATCAGAAATAACAATTTTCGTTAAGGCCTCTCCATGGATTTCAGGTTTAAATTTTCATTCCATGCAAGAAACACGATAAGAAGCTAACTGTTCTGTTTCTTGAGGTATTCTTAAATTCAAATGCTGCAATTTGGGTAGTAAATAAGTGCCCTCAAAGGCATGATGATGTATTGTGCTGTTATTAGTAGATTGTGATGATGATGATAAGTTTGTTTTTCAACCAGTGCCAAAACAAACCACTTTTTAGCTCTACCAACTTTGGAAAAATCCAGTTGAATTACAAATGAGGTGTAATCCACATCTGGCTTTTGATGTAGTCCCACGGTTGCATGCCCTTGGTGTTTATTGCGTGGTTTAAATACAAATAGATGTGACCCACAGTGCCGGAAAAAAAACAAAAAAAACAAAAAAAAAACTCCTTAAAGAATTAGGTCTGGGGCGCCTGGGTGGCTCAGTCGTTAAGCGTCTGCCTTCAGCTCAGGTCATGATCCCAGGGTCCTGGGATTGAGCCCCACATCGGGCTCCCTGCTCAGCAGGAAGCCTGCTTCTCCCTCTCCCACTCCCCTGCTTGTGTTCCCTCTCTCGCTGTGTCTCTCTCTGTCAAATAAACAAATAAAATCTTAAAAAAAAAAAAAAGAATTAGGTCTATAACACTGACAGTGGTGTTCATATTTCAATCAAGGCACACCACAGTCTTTATGTGAGAAACTGATCTCTTGGTAGATTTTTCTTTGAGCTATCTCTTCTATGCCTCCCCATCAGGCAGAAGATTCTCCTAAAAAGGTTAATAGCAGACAGGCCAAAAATCTGGATCAGCAAGAAAGATGGAGCCTCCTAGAAATCAGGCATGAATAATGCCCACAGATTGTGCAGTGTTATTTAATAATCTACTTATTTATTTGTCAGATTTTACTCAAATAGACTGGTTTTAATTGAATATTGTATATAAGTGTGTGTATATTACTGTTCACAGAATGGAAGGAAGATTCGAAAACATATGGGTTATGATTACTTTTCCATTTTTAAAAATAATTACTTGTGAGTCTAAACTCTTCTGCTGTGATTAGAGACAAAAATACAGAAAAGTATTGTCTGGGCCTGGCTCCTAGCTGTCAAATGCAATCTTCATTGAATGTGTTATATTGAAATCAGTAACTATTAATGACATTAAGATGATCAAAGGAATTTACTAATGAATTTTCTAAATTGCTCTTTGCTGTGAAACAGTGTTTGACCTTAGGCCGTTACACACACATATACATCCATGACTAAGGGTGCAACTGGCCTGTGTTAGCTTTTACAATTATAAACTACTGTTCTCTAACTTCACGTATGCACAACATAATAACAGAAACCCAACAACTGTAGAGAAATATCCAGAAGAATCCTGCCGAGTACTTCCAAATAAACAGTGATTTTGGTGACTATATTCTTTTTGTTTCAGAAAAGATGGTGGAGACACAAATTATGGTTGAGAATGTAGTTGGATAAGAACTCAGATTATGAGTCTGTCTTTCCTATGAATGTTTGCATAATATAATTTGTATTACATAAAGTGAATTTTTTTGTCAAATGAAAACAGGAAAACACTTCCATACTAACACAGCCAAACTTCACAGCTAGCTTAATTACAAAAGAATGCCCAGTATCTATAAGGACAGAGTGTTGATGAAATCTTGAGGCATTTCTAAATTTATGAGCTAGAATCCACAACGCTTGAGCAAATTCAGATGTTTGATTGCCTATAGACCATCCCTAGAGTTATACAATTTTTTGTGTGTGAACCATGTGAATAAATGAAAGGATATGAGAATGACTGCAATACCGAAAGAGAGTTATTTGTCATTTATCAGTATAAATCATGTTTCTACACATTTATTAGCTCTTTTCCATCGGTAATTCTTTTCTCATTTTGGGACAAAATACCTCTTTAAGATTAATGGTAACTTTAGATGAAGTGAGGAAAATAGACAAAGAGAATGAAATCATTAAAGATGGAGCAACCCAACAATGATTGCATGACTTTTGTTGCACAGCAATTTCTGTTTGAATGAGAAGTGCTCACCTGACAGCTGTGATCTGGTCCTCAACTTCATAAACACCCAGCTTTCGATATACTGCATACAGGAGTCTGTCACCTTGGAAGGCTGTTCCTCTGCCATCCACCAAGGCAATGACTATCCCCTCCTTACTTGCAAGATAAGAAATCCAACTAATAGCGAATACAGACCTTACGCTCTGACTGCAAGGACCACCATACCTAAAGGAAAAAACAAAAAACAAAAACAACAAAAAACACAACAAAAAGAATCTTGGATTCCTTGGTAAAACTCAACTTCACATCATGGCTAAGAATTGCCTTTAGTATTTCCCAGTACATTTGCATGATAAAATTTCAATAACAGTGGCATTAGAACTGGCTCAAAATCAAGAGAGGACCAGGCTTTTCCCAGAGGTTTGCTACAAGGAAGTTGTTTTGGGACACAGCCTCTCCTATTCCCCAAAACGGATACATCTAGGGTTGGCATTTCAAGGAATATGTGTGGGTTTTTCGTCATTTCTGCCACCTGCCACTTGCTAAAAGCAGGCATAAGATATACTAAAAAAAATGCATGGTGTTTTAAGCAAATTGTGTGTAGGTCAGCACTGATTTTGGGTGTGATTCCACTAAATGTATTCCATTCCCTTATTTCATTTCTAACTCACTTACATAAGACATTAAGATGATTTACAATATTTTTTGGCTGCAATTTCTCTATCTCAAAGGTATTCTGACACATTCGGCAATTTGCCATACAAAGGAAATTCAAGACAGCGAATGCAAGCCAGTCCATCTAAAACCCCCAAACTTCCTCCATCTATTTTAAATAGCCATATTTTATTTACTCTGATTAGTTGAGGAATATATAAAAACAGCATCAATAGGAACTGTTACCAAGGAGAATGGTTCATTCTATCTCATAAATGTGTATTTAATTCAACATATTTTCAGTAAATAGTTTTTACACCAAAGAAAATATTACATACACTTGAATTAGCAAGGGATACTTCTTTGATCTGTCAAATTGAGGAGGAAGAATCATCTTGTACCATAAAGCTTAGGGGAAAAAAAAAGAAAAATCTTCATTCCACTATATTCATAGCATTATTTATTTTCTTTAATAACAAGATAACATAAAACTAATTCATAACTAGTAAACTCTAAAAAATCAAGACTATATTTTAAGTTGATTTTTATTACATATTTTTGCCAAATTTATAAATTACTAGCAATCTTGAGTTATTGTTTCTCTAGAAGCGCACATTCTAAAATTAAAATTAGATAAACTCTTTTTAAAAAAATATCAGTGTTGAAATGGAGCTACAGAAAAGTATAAGATCAACTCTATTTACAAACATATTAAAGATCTTTTGTGAAACTCTATTGTTACAGTAAGATTGTTTTACTTAAGACCTTTAATATTATAGGGTTTGGACTATATTTACCCTATACTTTTTTTTTTTTAAAGGAAGATAAGTGTTCAGTCTCATATTTGTAAATGAGAAGTTTTTAAAAGATCTTACTGATGCCATCCACTTCAAGTTTCTTAATTTCCTCTTTAGGCAGCTGGATATTTGTCAAAGCATTTTCCAATTCTTTGTTTTCTTCCAGGATTCTAATTTCTTTAAAAAAACCCAAAATGTTCATTTTCAATTAATAGCATTCCATAAGAAAATTCCTTTCTTAAAATTCTTTTGGGTTTAGTATAGATGAAACTGAAACTGTATAAGGAACTGTATAAGAAATTTTATATTGACAAGCATATTTTTAACCCAGCCTTTAAAGCAGGTATGAGTTTATGAGGACATTAATCATTGCCTCCTGAACTAATCTTTATAGCATCAAAACACATTTTGAGCAGAATCACAGAGGCAACAATGTTTATTCACCATATTTTCCCATCTCCAACTTTTCTAACATGAAGCTATGACCTGAGTAGGTGACTATTTTTTATCATCTACTAAGAAAAAAAAAGTAAAATCCATATTGCTGAAACCTCAAATTAAAAGAGGGGTGCCTGGGTGGTTCAGTTGGTTAAGCATCCAACTCTTGATTTTGGCTCAGGTCATGACCTCAGGGCAGGCTCAGCAGGCAGTCTACTTGGATTCTCTCTCTCTCTCTTTCTGCCCCCCCACCCCGCCCCTGCTCATGCATGCACGATCTCTCTTTCTCTTTCAAATAAATAAATAAATCTTTAAAAAATAATTAATTAGGGCGCCTGGGTGGCTCAGTTGGTTAAGCGACTGCCTTCGGCTCAGGTCATGATCCTGGAGTCCCGGGATCGAGTCCCGCATCGGGCTCCCTGCTCGGGAGGGAGTCTGCTTCTCCCTCTGACCCTCCCCTCCTCATGCTCTCTCTCTCTCTCATTCTCTCTCTCTCTCAAATAAATAAATAAAATCTTTAAAAAAAAATTAATTATATAGTCACAAAATTTGTTTTTAAATTTTCAATGTGTAAAGTCAAATACTCTTTCTGTGATGTACTTTTTCTGTGATATATATATATGTATCTATATAGGATATATATAACATTTTATAATATATATTAATATAGGACATATATATATTTTTTAGAGAGAGGGAAGGAGAGAGAAGGGGGAGGGGTAGAAGCAGAGAGAGAGAGAATCTTAAGCAGACTCTATATCCTGCGTGGAGCCAGACACGGGGCTCCATCTCACAACCCTGAGATCATGACCTGAGCCGAAAGCAAGTCAGACACTGAACCGACTGAGCCACCCAGGCACCCCAACATATATTTCTTTTTAAATCTTTTCCTGCTGTACTTAATTAATGTAGGATATTCTTCCTTTTTCTGGTAATTGAATTATTGCACATCATATCCCTTCAGATCATTTTTGTCAGGGTAGTTATACATCTTAGTAAAATAACAATATATGCGCGCTCTGATCTCTTTCTGTTTTTCACCTTAAAGGATCTTCAAAAAACCTGCTGCTTATATTTGAGCTTAATTATGTTCACGCTTTAATCTTTGAAACTGAACAATCCATTGATCTCCTGATGCTGCAGTTTGGTGGAATATGCAAATGGGTTTCTAGCAATTGAGGGTTTTTTTGCAAGTTTTATTTTGAACTAGAATTGATGCTAGTTATCTGCTAGAGAAAAGTTAGACTTTCATGTAACATGTGGAGTTTGTCGATTTATTTTCCTTAAAAGAAGGTCTGGATGACTTCTGAGATATGACAGTTTTTACAAAAGAATCCTGTGAACGTCTTGTTTTTGTGCCTTTTTAAAAGTGGTCCTTGAAGATGGGGAACTGGAGAGGTACTTGTAACTACAGTAAGTTTGCCAAACCATTTCCCTTGTAACTCTCAGTTTTCATATACTCATGGCATTTTGTTCCAACATGTTATATTTAATCTTAGAACAAGTATAGATGTTTTGGTATGAGTTGTATAAGACACATAATAAATTTCATTTTAACTTTGGATAATCCATCAGGAAAGAGATACTTGTGGCATCTTAAAAGTTAAAACAAAACAAAACAAAACAAAAAACCCCAAAAAACAAGACAAAAAACCCCCCACCAAATACACAATTCTAAGTACAATGGAGTCAGCTCTTCATTCTCCTTGTGTGGGTTCTGTGTGTGGAGCTATTACGGATGAAGGGAATCCTGTGTGGAGCAAGTACACAGAGTGACTGCATTATAATTGCTTATTTATTTATTTTCATATTTTACTTATTATTATATTTATTATTTACTTATTTGCTTTTATCATTTTACCAACAGGTACCGGAAGTTGGAGACTATACACAAGTGTTGCCAGGTTGGTTAGACTTTGATTCCTCCATTCTTTTCCTAGCTATTGAACTTTGCTGATTCATGGCTTACTGAAATGCCAAAGTTAATTTATAAGCTTATTAATGCTCTATAGTCCAGAGAAGCATTAGTAAATTAACTTGGCAATTTTCCCACCCCTTGGAGCAAAATGGGATTTCATAGGACTGTCGGCAGTGGGGGTGCCAACTGGGCTTCTCTATGTAGCTTTGCATTAAAAGCATATAACATGGAAGGAGTGCTACCGCCCAGAGCACCTTTCACCTTATTTCACTCATCAATCTATACTCAGTACCTAGCATACTTAGTACCTAGTACACGATATATATGTAGTATATGCTCTCCATTTATTTGCGGACTCTTCATTATGATGAAAGAAAAAAAGAAGAATGATGGATCATGTACGAATTTTTTGTTTTAATTATATGAACTACTATATGTTACTCACTAATTATATTATGTGAAGAATCTGTGGAAAAGCTGATAAATGAGGTCATTCGATCAGTTGGTAATTGTAATGAGCACTTGTGCCTGAAGCAACTAAGCCTCTGTTGGGATGTCTATGTCAAGTGCCTACCCTTCTGGGTTTCTAAAGCACCTGGTTCAGGTCCTATGTTATTTTCAAATGACCTTACCCTACTTTGCCGATAAAATGAAGCCATTGCACTGTTTTCTGCAATGTCTACACACTTTCATACAGTTACATTAGTAATTTCTCCATTCTTGCTCAGCACAATGCCAGAGATGAATCTCCACCTGCCCCTGGACTCCATTTTTTCCCAACATTTTTGGAGACCTCCCTCCTTTATGTCTTTGACCACTTCTGGTCTCCTAATTTCTTCCATCAGCATTTAACCATACTCAAATGTTTATTATCTTTCAAAAGCAAAATTAAACCTCTATCAACTGCTTCCAGCCATCATCCCTCCTCTTTCCTCCACTCTTCAGGCAGACCTATTGAAAATATTCTTTTTACTTATGTCCTATCAAGCCTAAACTTGCTTCCATCTGGCTCCCACCTCCACTGTTTCTCTGAAACTGGTCTGACCAAGCCAATGGTAATCTCCCTCTTGCTAAATTCATTGATTTAGAGCACATCTCACTTCACTCTCTGTAGCACTTGACACAGATGAGTCCTCCCTCTTTCTGAGATCCTCTCCTCCCTGAATTCTATGATACCATACTCTCAAGGTTATCCTCCTTCTGTGCCCCTCTCTGTCTCCTTCACAGGTTCATTTTTCTCTTCCCATTTCTCATGTTGGTATTCTGCACAGTTTTATTCCTACTCTGTGTTCTTATCCACTTCCACGGTCTTAGTAACCATGGATTTCATAAATTAATGACTTCTTCTTCCTCATCTTCAATCCAATGTCCAGATCCAAAACTTTGTCACTTCAGACAGCTCCACTTGGATATCCCATTGGCACCTCAAGCTCAACATTAAAAACAAAATTCATCATCTCAAACATTCTTTTGGCTGTGAATCCCTCCTTCAGTTAAAAGCATCAATATCAATCCACTTGACCAAGCCAGACATCCAAGCAGCATTAATCCCTCCCTTATATTTGGAGGTTTCCAGTTTGATGTATCTCTCATTAGGAGACATTTCCTAACCCCCATCCCCCAGATACAGTACCCTGCTTATGTGCTTTCCTATTTCTCTATTTCCCCCATCCTAACCGTGTCCTCACTGTATTACCCACTCACAGGTTTGCATTCCCCATTGATCTATAATCTCCTTGAGGACTTGGACCATATCTAACCCAGTATCTGTTAATTTTAAGGATCTAGTATCTAGCACAGTGTCTGGCTTAATGTGATAGGTGCTTAATAAATATCTGTTGAATAAAGATTTCTGGCACCAAATGCAAAGGAAAATGGGTGAAAAAAAAAAAAACCCTACAAATAAATAGAAGACCCAGCATCCGCTCTAAAAAGCAGCTTATCTGGGAATTTATTAAAGATTCAGATTCTGTAGCCCAATCTAAGATCCACTGAACTGGAATTTCTGGGGAGGGCCTGAGCATCTGTATTTATAATAAATATCTCTGGAGAATTTCATCACGAGGCGAGTTTGCAGAACTGTGTTCTAAAAAAATCGCATTCTATTCGAGGGTTAGAAAACATATAAATACATATGAGAAATGAGAGTGACATGAGCACTGCACCTATTTTGTAAGTATTGGGTGAAGTAATAACACTTTTGTATGCGATACCGAAATTGGTATCTGGCAGGAATAGGAGAAGGATAATAAGAAAGTGGAAATTCATGCTCTGAAAAAAGGGAGGCTGACCTTTAGCAGTCATGATAAAATGGGAATCATACATTTATGGGAATTTCCATTAAAATAAAATCTTTCAGATTTGAATGTAGTATTGCTTTAAAATGTCTCTTACTCAAGCCATACTGAGAAATACAATCTTTTATTCTTTAAAGGCATTTCATTATTAGACATGAGGTAAAAAAACAAAACAAAACAAAAAAACCCCAAAAAACAAAACAAAAAAACCTTCAAAATGGCACTAAATTCACAGTCCCTGTATTACATTGCCTGTCCTGCCCAGAGCTTCTGAATTGACTGTTTTTTCTCATTACCTTATTTTCACCTATTTTACTTGAGCCATTGAGCTGGCAGTCAAACTAATCCCGGAACAGTCTCCTGACTTGTCACCAAAGCTGTCCGGGGAGGATCACAGGCACGAGTCCTGAAGTCCCTCATTGTCCCTCGTCTCCATCAACTTCAACCCTATAACGTTGTTCAATAGTAAATCAAAAGACAACAGGGGAACTGCAGGGAGAATACACACTCGGATCACTCTGCCGAGAGCAAAGACGGTCATCTTTGATCTGTGAGCTATTTTGAACCAATATCACAGATACGGGATGGAGGAGGACCGTCTTGATAATAGTTGAAAATGGGAAAAGCCTCTAAATTTCAGGGATTTCATTTGTAGCAACAGTGTGATGTGGCTGTTAGAACAAAAAAGCCAGCGTGATAATCAGACAGCCTCTGCTTTGAACTGGACTTAGATCTGGAATTTGTCTCTAGTTTGGAATGCTGCAACAAAGCAGGAATTCTTATTTGGGAGGGAGGTTGTACTAAATATCCCGAGTTTCCTTCCAATGCTAAGCTTCTGTGTTTTTTATAAGGCTGCCTGGGGAAGACAGCATGAATCCCTGTGACATAACTCATCTGTGTCATGCCAGGTTCTTACTGCAAATCATTATTAAATTTCAGAGGATCAGGTTTGACTCAAAGAATATCCAAGTCTATGTGACAATAAGCTCTATGACCACAGGATTCCATCACAGTTCCCCTTGTTGGTGTGGGGAAACTGTCTTGGTGCCTCTTGTGTAATGTCACCCAGAGTTCAGGATTTCTTTAGACAACAGCATGCAAGTGAGCGTACCTTGATCGGTGTGGCCGTCATGAAGGGTAGAAATGGGGAGGCCTGGGCCTGTGCACAGGATGAAAACAAAAACATGCTTAAGCTTTAAAATAACACTGAGTTTCCAATAAGAAACTGGTCATATTTGTGTCAAGCTCAAGTATATCTTAATTCTACAGCTGTTTTTTTTTTCCCCATGGAGAAGCAAATACCACATTTTAAGTTACATTTAAACAACACATGAGATCAGAACACAATCGAAGAACAGATGTGAGAGAAGAGTTGCCCGTGCACTTTTCCAGGAGTGATCGGAATAGTCCAGCTCTCATGACACAAATGGCCCCCAGGATCTGCCATGATAAATGGCCCTCTGAGAAGACATCACGTTGTATGGGCTAGCGTTAGCTGTGTCTTTTTTATCCGATAACCTTCACCAGCACCCAGATGATACTCTCAGTCTGGCTTCTTGGTCCAATGTTCAGTTTATTTTGGAGGGTGGAATCCAGCACCTTTCCCCCCACCCCATGTAATTAATAGATGCAGAAATAAATTTGTATAGAATCTGTTACCTGTATGCTGTGGCAGGTGACATTCCCTGGGAAACAGACCCAGAAGTTTTGTGGGCCAGAGATTTTTCTGGGGGTAGTATTAGGATGCTCACTTCTGGGAGAGGAAGGATGAGGTGGTAAGGGAAGGTGGGCTTTAGTGCAGTCAAGACACAAACCTCAGCTGACCCCACAGGGAGCTCTGGATGGCCTGCAGAATGGCCTCCATGTATAGGGCTGGCTTTTATACCCCAGATTGGAGCAGTCATCGGATGTGGCAGGGGACGAGGGCGATTCCCAGGGTGGGAGCTCGGCTGTGAGCTGTCGGCGGCCACCAGCACTCTCAGCAGCTAGCGAAATGAGGGATTCGGCCCGGAAGTGGGGGGTTCTGGGTGACACACCAGTGTCCACTACATATTACAGCGTGGAACTCAGGTTTTCTGTGCAGAAACTGGCCATTTTAACAAGATCTGCACATAATTGCACACTATCTCCAACTCACTTGAACCACAGGATAAAATAATACCTGGAAATATACGTTTTTAAAATTTTTAATTTTTTTTAAGTAGGCTCCACACCCAGTGTGGAGCCCAACGTGGGGCTTGAACTCATGACCCTGAGATCAAGATCTGATCGAGCTGAGATCAAGAGTGGGACGCTTAACTGCCTGAGCCACCCAGTCGCCCCTGGAAATATACTTTTAAAGGATAAATTTGCTCTGACAGTCGATGGGTTAAAAGAAACAACATGGAAGCTGGGAGTAGAGGTTCATTTGCACTCCTGATGCTTCTTCCTTCTTTGTGGAACATAATTAGAGTAGCACCCTAGAGCCCAAGCAAGCTGAAGCAAGGGTAACCTTTTTGATGAGTTCTCAGAAGACCTGGATAGAGAGAAGTACCTCCTTCTTCTGCTTTGTTCCTGGCATCTTTCTGCCTGTTCTTGAATGGATCCTCATGCTCTAAGTGGGACAATGCTGGGGCCTGTGGGGGCCGCCAGTGGCTTTCTAGTCGTACCCATATTTGTGTAATTGTAATTCTGAGTAACCTTTACCGGTGATAAAGTTAATATTTTAATTTCCTCCCTGACCCCTCAGGTGAACTTGAGAGTAAGGAGAAGGGATATTATTTATTAGGCTCTCTCAAAAAATAATTCTCTATTGTGTGGAGTTCAAAATTTTATAGAATTTCATTTTCAGAGATTTTCATTTTGACCAGCTTTTCCTCAAAGTTATTAGAAAGGACAAACACATATTATATTTTTGGTCAGAATGTAAGGAACTGAAACATGAATCTGAATTTCTTGACTTCCGTCAACAAGCATCCACCCTGTGGAATTTTCATGGGCATGCAGCTCCAGGAGTGACAACTAGCATATCTGTTTTGGCCAAATTCTGAGACAGACTAATGACTGGCCACCCTGGGTACAAATGGCCTGAGCCTGTGGTCCCAGAGGCATCAAAGCACCAATTGTCTGGAGTCCCTCCTTTGCATTACTTTTGTTCCATCAGCATCAGGAAGAGGATTTTTATCTATTTAATCCTATTATCTGGGATTTACTCACCATCTCTTGGAGAGTTTGAAGTTACATAATGAGGCTTTACTCTTAGTCCTAAAGGGAAAGATTTCAAGGTTTTTCTTATGATGGCTCAGTGACTCATTTTACTGGAGCTTCAAAAACACCAGACGATGTGATGCTTCCCACACAGTATATTTTTTGCTAAATGGGAAATTACCATACTGCCGAGCAAGAGTGAGTGTGGAAAAGTCAGGCGATTCAAGTTCTAGAAAGGACTCTTCCACCAACTTTTGAGGAGAGCTTAGTCTTTGCTTCCTTATCTTTTCAGTGGGCACTCAGACTCAAGCAAATATTAGGAAGACAAAGTGATATAAAAAGTGGTCGAGTGCTTTCAGAAAGGGTTGAAACATCGTACAAATGCAGAATGTGTATAAACATAAATGAATGTATGCAAGTGTAGGGTCACTGAGGTCTCTATGGGTAAATATGTCAGCATGAGAACAAGTTTTTTGTTAGGCTTTGCAAAAGGCAATAGTGCTTTGATCTTCTTTAGCACCGATGTTCATTTAACAATTATGCCTTATGTGTAATTATTGTGCAGTAGCCATTTTTCTTGGCCTCATGAATGTAAAGATGAAAAGAAAGCAGCCTCTGCCTTCAGGAGAGAAAGACAAACAGATGACTCAGTATAGTTAGTTCAGTGATACTATATGCCTGGCATGTAAGCTTTCAATATATGTTGCATAAATACATAGCTTGGGTTGAAGAATGTTGCATATAATTTGAGAAGGACATTTAATATATATCTTTAAGTGACATAACCACAATCAGCACATACAGTCATGAACAACAATCTCTTGGCTTTTCAAAGATGTCACTGACTCAACACACTGTGTTAAAGTAATTGTATCAAACTGACCTCTTGTGCCATCTTAAAGGGAGCATTTGGGTTAAAATGTTTATCCACCGCTGCAGTCAATTGAGCCTGGGCTTGGGTTCTGGGGCCAGGTGATTGGGATGAGGAAAGTGGAATGACAGGGCAGCCTTCCTTCTGGGAATTAAAGAAACTGGGGTCTTCTGCAACTGGTCAGGGATCTCCATCAGCCAAAGATTCCATTTGTTCTCTGAGCTGCTTTCCACGGGGAGTTGATACTAGAAGCAGTAGAGTGGCATGTATTTTGTAATAACATTCTCTGTTTGCTGTTCCTCACCAGGGAGACTCAGGGATTAATTATGGGGGTGGGATAGAGAATGGAAAAGTAGATATTTCTCAAGTCCATTTTCCAAATCTCCACGATGCCTACCAAGACCCCAATATATTTCACGGATCTACTGACATGTAACCAATCTGTTTCATGGCTTGTCGTATGTTCAAGATATAGATAAGATGTTATGCACAAAAGAAAATTATTTGGATAGAAATTATTAACTAAATGTACACACGGCCTAAAAAACCAGGAAGTATTTGGTGTATTTTATTCCCTATGACTTTTTACTATTTGAATGAATTACTTATGTTATGTTTCCCAAATTTAGAAAGAACATACGAGGTGACAAAAGTTTACTTTCCATCCTCACTGAAACTATCATTCAAAGAAATATTGGCCTCCGAGGGAAGGAGTTCAGGTTTCCAGGACATTATTCTTTCCCCTGGCTGTCGGAGTTTGACATTTCTCCAGGCAAATGGGGCCAAAGTCCAGCAACCGTTTTAACAGAGAATGCTTCTTTCTGTGACACTGCTCGAGTCTTGCTGTGATAGCGAGTAGATGGTGTTTGCATATAACGTTAACCTCACGCAGCTGCCGCACACGGTCGGTACAAGCTTGGGATTTACCGTCAACACATCCCTGCTCCCATTCTGGCTCTGCTGCTTACCAGCAGTGTGGATCCTCTGCAAGTCATTCTATTTCCTCAACTGCAAAATACCGGGATAAAAATGCTCTCCTATCTTCCTTTCATTTTTTTCCCCCATAAACGTTAGATAAGATAACACAGGTGAGATCCTCATATATAACAAGTGTTCGATGACCTGAAGTGTAGGATTGATCAGGGGAAGACGATGATGAGGACACCAACATTGGCAGTGTGGTGGTGGAGCTCGGGGTCCGTTACCTACCATAGCAGACAAGCGCATAGTACTTGGCGTAGTCACTGAAACTTGCTGTGTAATATTGGCACCTTTCTTTCCTTAGATGGCAAGTAATGCACTTTTTGCTTGGAGGATGGCTTCCAATGCTAATTCTAGAGGAAAATGAAAATAAAACTAAGCTGAAATTTTGAGATTGTATTTATCAAAATGTACTACTCCATGTAAAATGACTAATTTACATATTGACATCAAACCCACTCTATTTTTCTCTTGCCAATATCATTTAAAGTGAAGGGGAATTACAGTATTTTGATGTAGCCTGATTTTTCAATCATCTTTGCCTGAAGAGGCACAAGCCTTGAGAGAGAAGCCCTTCGGTTTCTCTGGGGTGGGAGAAATATCTAACACCTTGAATGGGAGTGAGGTAACCACTTCCCATAGCCATTCATCCTTTACATCTTACAGAGTGCTTGGCAATGCATAGTTCTTCATCTTCCCATCTCTCTTATTGTACTCCCATGCAAAACAGGCAAGGAAAATCTGGCAGGCTCACCAAGAAAGGGGTCGCTGTTCTTATATATCTGGAAGGGGAAATCAGTCATAAGCAAAGTGGAAATAAAAAAACCATAGTTTTTAAGTGCCTCCTGTGCCTTCCATTCCTTTCTAAAGGAAGTTTAGGGTCAGAGAAGCTCTTCCTGGTAATGCTTGCTCCCCACCACACTCCTACACAAGCCAACCTGTACCTACCACGTCGGACCCACCCTCTCCCCAGCAGAGCCTTCTGCATGGCTTCCGAATGGGGTGATTGGCTTTAATATACAGACTCCCAGACCTGACCCCAAACCCTCAGAATCAGATTCTCATTTGGGCCAGACTAGATGGTATGATGCCAGGGTAGGGTCAGGGTCAGAGTCTGTTGTGGCTGGTGAAATAATCTGCTGCCGCAGTGTTCCTTCTGCTGCTGCCCCTGACCTTGCCCAGGGCATGGTAGATGGGAACCAGAGACATCACTAGCACTACAGAGGGATTCTCTCCAATAGATAAGAAGTCACGATCCAGGAGGGAGCCGAGGAATGCAGCAGAGGGAAAATTCCTTATTTCCTTGGTTACAGTTCACATTCACGTTCACATTTTGGTGTAATCCTGGAAATGTTAGGTAGGCAGTTAACAGTAAGGGGCCTAGGTCAGCATGCCCAGGTACAAAATTCTGGCTCTAACAGTATCACCTGCCTCCTGAAGTTGTGGGGATTAAATGAAATTACATATGTAAAGTAGATAAAAATGTGCCTGACATATAGCAGACTACCAGCCGATGGTAACTATGACTTTTACTTCTATATCCGGAGAGGGCCGTTGAGGGCACCATTCCAATCACCAAGGGTACAACTGGACCAACTTAAACACTAATTTAGGAACAGAGATGAATTCCTTCCAATAGTAATAGGCTTATGCCAAAGTGAACCAGATTAAAAGAAATCACATGATATGGCAGTAACCACAATGTCTGGTACACAGTAGGGACTTAATAAGTGGCTGCTAAATGGATGAATGTCCGCAATTACCTCTAAATTTAGTTGAAGTATTTAGTATCATGTTTATAACAGCATTAGAATTTCTTGACTTTTTTTCTGAAAACATTTTGAGTTAGCTAATATTTGGGGGGTGTATATATTTTTTAAAGATTTATTTATTTGAGAGAGAGAGAGAAAGTACGTGTGCATGCATGAGCAGGAGGAGGGGCAGAGAGAGACGGAGAGAGAGAATCTCAAGCAGACTCCTCGCTGAGCATGAAGCCTGAGACAGGGCTCCATCTCACAACCTTGAGATCATGACCTGAGCCAAAACCAAGAATTCGATGCTTAACCACCTGAGCCACCCAGGCACCCCGGGGAAGTGTGTATTTTTCCACTGATGTGGTGTACAGCATTCTCTCAATGTTTTACCTTGATTCATATATAATTTTTGTTACATTTCAGGCTTTAAAAAATATTCTATGTATCCACAGGCCTCTGACAGATTTTCATTCATGTATTAACATATAAAAATATTAGAATGTATTGACATAAATTACCTATAGATATTTCTTCTTCCGGGGTAGTCTTCAAATTCATTGCTAGAATAAAACCTGAAAATATATCCAGAAGTTATTAAATAAGTATTGATAACTAAATAGTGACAGAATTATTAGTACGAATACTAATAGAATAAACAATATAGTCCAATGTTTGTCTAATGAAACTATATTAATTGGCACTTAGGTTGATAAGTCATCGCTGTTTATAACACTGAATTTTATGTACCTACTCTGACTTTCAATTCATAGGAGAAAGATTAAATTATGCTGAATATTCCCTTTTTTATTATAGGTATATTGATTCATTAGTTATGAGTTACACAAAATAAGGTAAGATATTGATTATTATCACCCTCTTCCTGACAGTTTACTGGTTTCTCTATGCTATATTAATTTTGTCCATGATTCCGAAGACATTTTGAATTTGTTTTACAGAAGCTCTGACAATAGATGAATTTGTTATAAATCCAGAAATGCATCGGCACTATGACACCACACAAAGGGCCATGTTAATTCACCGAGATGCAAAAGAAGTCACAAGAGAACATACTTGTTACTTAAGTATCTGGGTCCCAGTTCTAACCTGTCTTAATATAGCTATGAAGTGGGAAATCCAATTTAGTGGCATGATTTTCACTCCTCTGTGAGTTCATCTGAATATCACGAAGTAACTGTCTTTTTTTTTTTTTTTTTCCTTTTTGGAAGAGCATAATGGAGTGTAGAAAGTCGGGTTCAGTTACCCATTTTTAATTGTTAGGACTGTTCAGTGGCCCAGGTGGTTTTATGTCTTCACTGTCATAAACACCTCGTTATCCCCAAGTAGAAAGAAAAGGTAAGAGAATGCAAATCACTCCTAGGATTGACTGTGTCTTCTAAACCAGCAGCCTTCCACGTGCCTTGACTAACTTCACATGACTCCGACCGAGGGGACGGTCACTTGCACTTGTCTTCCTCACCTCATCTCAAACTACCAGTGAATAAACTACTCCATATCTTTTCCAAGCGGCCCCCCGCAGGTGTCCTGTTCTGTCAGAAGCTTCACGGTTGCCTTCCTCTAACCCTGGGAACTGAGTCCACTTTGCCTTTCCTTCCCCTTTTCCTTCAGGACCACGAAGTCAGCAGTCTTGTTCGTCCTCTATCTGTCCTTATGGTCATATACCCTTCCTCTCATTCATTTAACAAATATTTACTGACTTCCAGTGCTGCATCAGGCATTATGCCAAGCGCTAAGGACACAAGAAAAAGGAGGCATAGCTTCTCCGTCCAAGAGTCCATATTTCATTGGCACTGTTCTAGTTCAGGTTCCCATCATTGCAAGCTTCGATTAAAACCATCGCTGGGCCTTCCTGCCTTTGGGTTTCCCCTACCTCTGTTTCTACTTCACAGTATGTGGTAGGAAGTAATTGCTCAAAAAATGATAGCTGTTACAGATAATGATCTTAAATTCATATAACATTGAATCACTACAAAAAAATGTCTGTATCTATGGGCTGCCCTTCATGGACTTTTGAAGCTTGCTCCTTTCTTCAAGTGCTGAAGTGTAAAATTTGTGTTTAGAAGTAGTTGTTATTTTTAAAATTTTATACTTTTAATTTATTATCTACCAGGTATCAGAAGAGACATGACCACTTACTAAATATTCTTTCCTGAAAGAAATCATGTTAACTAGCTGTTAAAGAATGTGCAATCTTAATGAAACCAGAACTATCTGCACTAACCTCTAGAGTAAGTAACCAAAAATGCTCTTAACGAAGAGGTGGTACAGTATCATTTGTGTGTCCATCAGTGCTAATTAAAACCTGAATGGTGCATCATGCTTCATGCAATACTTACAGTGAATCCTGTGTTACTCTGAATATATTTATGGCCTCCCACTTGCCACTTGTAATTTGAATAGCATTTTCCTATAAAAAGACAAACATTATGTTGTGTGAAGCTGAGCGTTATTTGAGCAACCTCAAGTGAATGATCTTTGAGGAGATAAATCTTGGAAGGAACATACCACAGTGTCTTTGATATAGTGAATATGTTTGTAGCCATCCTTGTCGCTAAATATTTTGTAGTATGAAATGGCATCATAGCTGAAAACTGGTGTTGAAACAAAGAACTGAAAGAAATGAACAGAGGTTATGTTCAAAAGACAAACCAAACTAAAACTACAGATTTTTTTAAAAAGCAGTGGATAGCTACGATTATAGGAACCAGAACGCCTTGCCTCCCCTGCCTTCCATCACTCACATCTGAAATCCCATTCTTCCAGATAGACAGCTTTTCTAGGGCTTCCAACAGGCATTTGCACATTCCAACTGCTGCTTAATTGCTACTACATACCACTGTGTTTATAATGTTTAATTCCATTGAACGTCTATGCTTGGAGATAGTGTGGTTTGAAAGAGAGTTAAAAGAATCACAAGTGAGTGTTGGGGATATTTAGCCAAGGTCAAACTTCAAAATGTGGTATATGACCAAAGTGTGACTCATGAAGGCTGATAGTTCTGATTTTTGATTTGTCTGATGCCAAGCACCTAATGCCAATGATTCAATGAAGACATTTTAAAGATGAAAACATCATGGCCTGCAAGCCGCCGTTTTTAATGTTGGAAAGAAACTTCTAGAACTTCTAGACTTGAGAGAAAAATGTTTTCCAGGACAAGCTAGTAGGAGGTTTACTCCTTGAGCTCAGGGAGCGAAACAGGCCTCGTTGCCTGTCTCTGGCCTCTTCCCAGGGCCCCCACTGGCCACTTGCTGGGAACTGCAGAATGACCCAAGGAGTCTCTGACACTCAGCTTTCCTGTGCCCTGGAACAGAGCAAGTTACATCTCTATATCCGGAATGGTATAGATAACTCAAATCCTGCAAATATCCTCACATAATTTTTAGCTAGTAGTTTCGCCATTAAAAAAAATTAGCCATTAACTGAACATAATAATAAAAAGACCCCATTCATTTCCACTGAAAAAAAAAAAAAAGACAAAAAAAAATAGCCTTATCTTATATTTGTTGGCTTTGTTGTCATTGGGTTGTAAAAGAAAGGCAAAGTGGTAAAATGGCTATAGGAAGAAAGAGCTGCTCTGCATCATGCCCGGTAGAGATTCCCACAAATAATCCCAAACCAGCTGTCTCTGGCCGGAGAAACAAGTTGTTCAACTCCTTCAGAACTGACCAAGGGACAACAACCGAACTACCAGTATCTTTTAGTTGCCATAGGCCTTTTTAGTGATGGCTCCATGTGTGATCTGATAATTGATGCTTTTTGATAAAAATTTATGGTTATGATTACTTGATATTAAAATGTAACTTATTTGAGTATGGTGTCTGTAGTGGTCTGAATAGCATTCTCCAAAATTCATTTGAACCCAGACCTCCGATGGTAACTATGATGGACTGGGATTGTTTCTATCTCCTCCCAAATTCATATTTTGAAACCCTAACCCCCACTAGGATGGTATTAAGAGGGGGGACCTTTGGCAGGTGATTAGGATGAGATGAGGTCACAGGTGTAGAGCCCCATGAATGGGATTAATGCCCTTATTAGAATTACCAGAGAGCTTGCTTCCCTTGCTCTGTTCTCTACCATGTGAGGATCCAAGAAGTTGGTGGTCTGCAACCCAGAAGAGAGCTCTCACCAGAATCCAACCAGGCTGGCACTCTGATCTAAGACTTACCAGCCTCTAGAAGTGTGAGAAATCAACTTCTGTTGTCTCTAAGGCACTCAGGCTATGGCACTTTCTTTTAGCAGCCCAAAGGGGGAAGATAATGACCCTATTTGCAGATATAATCAAGGTAAGAATTGAGATGTGATCCTATTGGATCAGGATGGGCCCTGAATCCAATCTGGTTGGTGTCCTCAACAGAAGAGAGGATACCACTAGACCCAAGGGACATGGGGAAGAAGACTTCGTGATGGTGGAAGCAGAGATTGGAGAGATGCAACTGCGAGCCAAGGAAGTCCAAGGACTGCCAAGAGCCCCTAGTGGCTGGTAGAGGTGAGAAAGAATTCTTCTCTGGAGGCTTCAGAGGGAGCAGGACCCTGCTGACACCTTGACTTTGGACTTATAGCCTCCAGGATGGTGACAGAGTGAATTTCAGTTGTTTCAAGCCACCGAGTTTGTGGTAGTTTGTTGCGGTGGTCTCAGGAAACTAATATGTCCTAAGTCTTACCACTCTGGCACAGAACGGATGTCTTACACCAAATGAAAAATGGAATAAGGAGAATCTAACTCCTTACACAATTCCTTTGTTAGTTTCATTAATCATAAGATCAGCCTCGGTGGGATTTGGGGTATTGAGACTAATGCCTCTAAATGAAATTGAAAGTGAACTGAGTGAAAAAGAGGCCCAGGGAAAAGAAATTCTGGCTTGTAATTTTGTGGATGGAATTTCATTAGCATAGGTCATCATAACAAGCCATTCTTTCATTTTAGAAGAAAGCTTTGCCTACTTAGGCCAATGATAATATACCTACTTACTAGTAGGCACTTTGCAATGCCTCCCTCTCACACCTCAGGGTGAAAGACAAAAAACAGAACTACGTTGTCTTCACTGCTAAAATGGAACCAGGGTCACAAAATATTTTAAGATGCCAGAGTAAAAACATATTCTCCTCATACCTCGGGTTAGTAAGGAACTGTAAAAAAGGTTTTGTTCTGGATGAAGACTTAAAATTTCATTTTCATTGAAAAAAAAATAAGAGGGCAGGGTGTTATGTTTTAAGATATCAGAATCAGGCGAACAGGAAGAGTATCTCTGCTAAGCGAAGACTGTTATCTTCTCCTTTTTATTGCACACGGTGAAGACAGCTGCTTTAGATGAACAGGTAACTTGGGTGAGCTAAAGAGAGTGTGAAATATTTCCGCCTTCACTTTCCCAGAGCTGGGTCCATCGTGCATCCTGAGTTAAGTGCTTCTGGCGGCAAGTCACGCGTGGACCCTGGATAAGCACCCATAACTAGGTGGTCCTCAGTTTTAACAAGGCCTTTCCACAGCCCCTTTATCGTGCTTAGATTTTCTGATAAATTACTCACCTCTATGTGCAAAGCCATTTCAAATATTATACTTGGAAGGTAAGATTATTCACCACCTGATAATTTCTTACCATGGTTGGGAAACAACCCTGAGGTCCTACTTAAAAAAGGCTGATGCCTAAATGGAGTCCGCATTTGGCGAAAAGCACAGACTTCAAGCATTGAGTAGAAAACTCATTTTTCTGGCAACCAAATTCAGCCAGCTTTATTTGTGAAACAAGGAAATAAAGGCTCACTTAAAAGTTAAAAAAAATACAAACCCAAAACAACCCTCATTTTTTTGAACAAAGGGATTTTGCCAACGGCTAAGGGAGGTGTACTGTATTGCTTACTTATTTTTAAAATAATTTAAATGTGGCTTTGCACCCTAAGACGTATGCTTTTAGTTAGTGCTTGTTCTCCAAATTTTACTAACTCAATACTAGATCCTTTGATTGAAGGCTTCTTTTTTTTTGGTCTGTTCTCTACAGGGTGAGAAGAAATTTGTTTGAAGTGAACTTGTGGTTGTTATTTTTCTGATCAAATACCAAAGGAGATGTTAGGTTATTTCCCCCAAATTAAGACACCGAATATCTAGTGCTGGAGGACAGAAAATGATAGGTAAAGCTCTATGTGCCAGTGCCCTGCCTGCAGCTGACAAGTGCATTGCTTTACACAAGTCATTCAGTCTCACTCCTCTGATTCACAGGCAGTTTCCAAGTGTTTTTCAGTTTAAATTTCCTTAATAAATTCTAAAGGAACAACTTCTCTAAAATTCCTCTCTAATTTTATATTGATATGACTAGCCTGTACACTTTCTCTAAAAACTTCGTAAATATTACTTGAACAAATGTCTGAAAGATATACAAATTTCTAGGTTATTTCTGGGTAATTTTATTAAGCCATTGGTTTGATTATAGGTCAAAGGAAGCTATCCAGAATATTACGACATAAGAGTTATGAGCCTATAAAGTTTTGGCCTGACTTTCAAAAGACATGTCAAAACTTATAAAATCTAATGAATGACCTCTTCAAAGCAGCTGCCTTGGGAGAATGTGAACCTACTCCTGAAAGCTATCACTGCAAAGATTTTTCGATGATACCTCTTCTGGTATTTAGAAATTTACTGATTATTCGGTAAATTTTAGGAGATCGAGATGAGGACATGAAAAAATAATTTTTCCCAATAGAATTCCAGAGCTATAGACATTAAAATGATCTAGCACAAAATCATGTTGAAGATAAATAACGCATTGTTCACTAGATTTATTTTGGCATGATTTTTTTAAAAATAATTTTTGATTTCATGTAGGGATCTCATCTTCCCTCAAAAGATATGCATGTGCTTCCACTGAGGGTATTTAAAACAATGTTCTATGGCTTTAGAAGGCAATTAATTAATTAATTGATCCATTCATCCAGCTCATGTTTGCTGAGGTTACAAGGCTGGTGCTATACAGATTGTAAAAATTGATAAGGTACAAATAACTCTAAGATGCTTATAAATAAGAGACTTCAAAAGATGCATTCTAAAATATTTAGGTGTATTTTGAATGCTGGTAGCATTTTCAGAATAAATGTGTGTGGATTCCTAAAATCGTGTCTTTGAGAAGACTGTTGGTATCATTGTTTATCTATTTGTAAAATCATATCATTCATGTCATTCTGTAGTAACTCCCGCTATGTTATCATAATGGAGTATACAACCAAAGGAAGTTTTCGAGTATTCTTCTTTGCTTTCATTCTTTACTGGAAATTTTATAATGGGAGTGAACTCATAACTTCCCCTTTCCTCAAGTTTTCAAATAATGATTTAGGAATTACCTTTTTGGAAGATGAGCTTCGGATTGACCAACATTTCAAAAATTTAGAAAATCCTGTCCTTTCACTGAATACTCCTGATTTTTCTTGTGTTATTTACTACAGTGGCAAAGAGTGAACGCAAATAGGACTTGCCCATTTTTTTTTTCTCAATTACACACCTATCTTTGTTACCTTACTACTTTAGAGTATAACTTACACTTAATGTATATAATTAATAAAGTAATTACTATTCTCAAGTTAATGAATAAAACTGAAATATCTTTAACTGAAGACAGAATAAATATATGTAAGCTAGTATCGCTAAATCCAGAAAAGTGTACAAAAAAGAGTTTTTAATATCTGATGATTTTTAGTCATTTACCCACCTAAACTTTGAATTTTTATGAGTTATCATCATACAATTGACTCTGAATTCTTTATTGTCCTTGTATCACGGGTTAGTGTGTTAAAGGCACTAAGAGTTTCCTTTTTCTTTGCATGTGCCACTCAGAGAAACTGTGTGTGTGTGTGTGTGTGTGTGTGTGGTGTGTGTTTATGTTTAAATCCAAATACTAGTTGAATTCAATATGCTTGTAATAAGTGGCAGCATCCACACAACATTCACTTATTCTCTGTCCTATTGTGTATTCTTCATGGGACATTAGACACAATTGATAATTTTGTAAAACATGATTTTTTTACACTAAAAATTCTCACAAATTACTGAATAAACCTATCCCCCAAATTCTACATATAAGTGATCAAAAACCATAACAAAACACACGTTTTCCTATTTGATACCACTTAAAGACTGGAAAAATATATAATTCATTTATTAATTTCAGTCTATATAAAATTTATTAAGAGGTAGGTTGTCTTTAAATGACTAAGAATACCAGTGTATTTGGTTCTTCTGGCTTCAAATGGTTAATAATTATTATTTTAAGCTGATCAGGAATTGTGATCCCTTTTGAAAAATAATCTTTATTTTATTTGCTTAATAAGAATATTAACTATGAATATCAGAAAGTCAATTAAAAAGCTAAGGTTGGGACATGAGGAATATGATTTGTTCTCAACAGAATTTTAAATATATAGACATTAAAATTGTCTGGCACAAGATTGCTGAAAGGATCACTACCTTTGTGTGTAGTATTTTTTTTTTACCTTGTTATTTTTTCTATGAAACAAGTAGTGTCAACAAGTAGTGTCGGTTTGGATACATTTGAAATAGGTCCTTTGAGAGCTGAGAATCTGTCAAGTGACATTAAAATACAAGGAAAAGATAGCAAAATCATACTCCACCAGCCCATCCAGTTCTGCTTTCTTCTATATGCTCCTGGGTCTAAAAGAAAGAAAGACCACATCAAGCATACTATTAGGAGAACAGTTTTTTCTAGATATGACCTGGGCATTTGAACCAGTTAAGCTGTTTACTCAAACTGTACTATTGTAATTGAGTAACTTCACACTTGAGTTTCAGATGACCATATGCACAACCTTATACATCAGCCCTAGGGCATACACATGAGTAATGAGTAATCTAAGAGCTGGCTCTTATTGCAAACTTTTAAGAATCCTGGTTTAATTTTCCATGAGGCGGTGCCTGGAATTATCACATCTACGGAAGCCTAGCACGACCCCTAAGCACTTGGTGTCATGTAGTTTAAAAAGGCATTTCACAGTGGAGTTTAGGTTAATTTTTTTCTTTTCTCCATCTTATTAAGTAGATAGGAATCTTAAAATGTGCACTGGATCTTATTTTGATGCCTATTTTTGCATAAGGCAACCAATCACTTATTGAACAAAATTTAGTAAGCCTAAAAGGATGAATAAGCTTTCCTAGACAAATAATTAGAGAAAGAACATTCTAGGTGAAATGAACAACACAGAGACCAGGCCAGCTTAGTAGACCACAGGTGTGGTTCACTATGGCTGAGGGGAGGGTGACTATTGAAAAGAGTTGAAGATGAGGAAAGATGCAGGGGTATCAGAAAGATCCTGGAGAAACTCTAATGCCGCCCTTGGAAGTTTGGACTCCCCCTATGGGTAAATCCTTTGAAGGATTTCAAAATCACAATTTGGAAAATATAATTGCAAACATGATACAGAGAATGGATTAGAAGTGAGTAAGATAGAAGGAGGCAGAGAGATCAACTGGAAGGCTATTGTAGTTTGGAAAAAAGATGATAAAAGCCTGCATCTAGGTATTGATATTAAGGGCGGACCAGAGAAGATGTAGCCAGAGATACTTAAAAGTTCAAATCCTCAGAATAAAGTTGAGGGGCAAATGGTAACCAAAACCTCTGGTATAGATGAAAATCACCTAAAGAGTAAGTTGAGAGTTGTGGCAAAGACTATAAGATTATCAGCAATCTTTTGCTGATGTCTTTTTGCTCGGACTGGCCAGGCTCCATTGATTAGGATGTGATAAGTTCTAACAAATGATGTGTGAGCAGAAGTGACTCATTCCACTTCTAGGCCTAACCTATAAAAAAAAACCTCTTGAGCATGATCCTCCATTCCCTTTTCCATCCCCCAGCTGGATGTTGGTGGTCAGGTTTGAATGACTTTGGACTAGCCTTGGAAGTCACTAGATAAGACAGCACAAATGCCATCAACCTGAGCACTCCATCTCCCACCCCTCACCATTCCCCACTCACCTGGACTCACTAGTAGGTAGTTACATGAATGTGCAAAACGTTTCTATTTTCTTAACCCACTGAATTACTGGAAGGGTTTTATTGTTGTTATAGCAGTTAGCCTATCTTGCAAATACATTAATTTGGAGAATAATAAGATTTCTAGAGAACAGAAAAAGAAGAGCTGGAAACAAAAAGAACAGCCAGTGAAGAAGAAAGAGAACCATGAGTGAGGGTACTGTCATAAAAAGCAAGGGAATAATAAATCTTAGGCACAGCTTTGTTACTCAACACTTTGTCGTTCTTAAATTTGAAAATGTGTTCCATGTACTTATCAAATTATTTTGAAACTGGGGTTTTTTGAAATCCTAAGGTTAATTAAACCTGGTATTTTAAATTTAATCACTGTTTTGGGCCATTAAACTAAAGCTTATATTCCAAGGAATTCCACATCTCCTCGAATAAGCATCTTATATATTCTGTCAGTTTGGATTAAAGTTGTCCCTGATTTTGATAAATTAGAATTTCAGATTCCAACGCAATTGCCGTTTTTAAATTCCTTTTTTTTTTGAGAACTAAAAATTGTGTCTAAATGACCGATCTTACAGTTTTAAACTAATAAAATTAAAGCAATAATTCCTCATACCTAGCTTCAATAAAAACAGTCAAGATATAGTCCTCCAAAGCTGATTTATCACATGAATGGTTTCTAATTAACTGCCACAATCAAGTTTATTCTTTTCTTCCCCCCATGCTACTGCATTAAAGCCAAAATCTTTCTGTTTTGTATATCAAAATATAAATAAGATAAAAATAAGCTTCTAGCATATTCCATCAAAATTAGTCAAGCTTCTTACAGAGTAGTGATTTAAAAAATATTTTTAGCCTGAGTAATGTTGACTATTATAGTCCTGATATATTTCCAAATAGATTCATATGACTCTTTTCTTGCAAAACATAGTGTCCTAATTTCGAGATGGAATTTAGTGATTTACTTTGATTGCTCTGTGTTTTTTTTTCTTACTTTATAAAATAGGTTTTTCTATATTTGGTTTAATGAAACATGTCTTCATAATTAGAAGTCTTATGAAATGTATCCATCAAATTTCATATTTAAAGAAAACATTTTGTATTTCTTAGTCTCTAATATGAGTACTTCTGAACAGGCTCATTTTAAAGCTTTTAGATTGCTGAAGTACTTGTCTAACTCATTAATTAAACAGATTATGTTTCATTTGAACAATAAAAACAATTAAAACTCAACAATAAATCTGTGCCTAATTTTCAAGTTTTTTTCTCCCCCAAATTAACACAGTATAGGGTACTCTCAAGGTAACAAGAGAGCAAGATAATTTGATCTGATATTTCATGTCATATTCTCAATTATCTACTGTTAATTTTAAAATGGGAATATTTGGCTTTCTTTTGATAATATCCATTTCCTTTGAAATTTTTATTTTTCAATTTTGACACTGAATAGAACATAGCACCATTTGCATTTTCTCTGTGCTTTTTTTTTTTTTTTAAATAGAACACATTTATTTCCATAATAGACCCATCTTATCTTTTCATCCTCCTTATTTTGGGTTTTTTTACTGCCATTCGTACCATCTCAAAAGGATAGATTTCCATCCTAACTCAGAACCAGATGCCTTATTTCTCCAATGTTACATTGTTTCAGTTAGTCTTTTTCTCTACACAGTACCTGTGCTGAAGTCATTCAAGAAAACAAGGGTATCTTACTTATTTAATAAAAATAAAGGACTGTGAAGAAAGAGGGGTTTTTGTTGCAAAGCAATCAAGAGTTGAATGCGGTAATTCTGGCCTTATAATACAAAATGTTAGCTACAGGTAAGTCTCCCCTCATGTACTTTCATCTTCAGGCATATACCTCTGTGGTTTTAATATAACCTACCTTTGGACAATCCCATGTCTGCCAGCCTTCCCTAAAATCACATATAGACAGAACTGAAACGTTCTGGATTCTTTTTAGCCACTGCAAACATATTCGTTCATCAGTAACCCACGTGAGCCAACTGAAATAATAATCACTGCAAATAGAGCAAAACAGAGAGTCACAACCATAAACCAGTATCACAGCAAATAATTTAAGTTCTGTTTTCTAAAGGATGATTTTATTACTATAAAATATTTATTCCATAGATAAGGAAGGTAAAGCTTTCCCTTCCCTACAGAGAAAGAAGGCTTAAATGTATCTGCTGAATATTATTTTATTATTTATTTATTTATTTATTTATTTATTTATTTATTTATTTATTTATTTTTGAGAGAGAGAGTGCAAGTGAACCCAGGGCAGGGGAAGAGGTAGAGGGAGAGGAAGGGAGAGAATCTTAAGCAGGCTCCACGCCCAGTGCAGAGCTCGATAGGGGCTCCATATCAAGACCCCGAGATCATGACCTGAGCCAAAATCGAATCAGATGCATAACCGACTGAACCACCCAGGCGCCCCATACTTGCTGACTTTTAAAGAATATCTATAAGAGAGCTCATTCATCTAAATGGGATTATTTTATGCTTGAGTTTTCTCCTCATTTTGGATTTGTACATCTTAAGAAACATTTTAAGACATGAGGCCAAAGCTATTGGTCAATCTAGAGGGAAAAAGCATTAAACTGATGATTTTTCACAGGTAGACTCAAGTTTTCAATTTTTAACTAGCTGAGAGAGAGCCAAGTGTGCTAAATGCCCATCTTTCTCTCCAGGCAGGTTTGTGTTGGAAGCCGAGTTTTAACGGTGACCATGATCAGGGATTGAAATTCAGGTTTACTATAATAATCAGAGGTGATGTATACTAAGTAACTCAAATGATGCTTGGCATGTAGTTGGTGTCAATGAATGGCAGCAATTATTACTTGGCTCTGAGGATGAAGCCTCAGAGAGAGAACATCGATGTAAATAAACCACAGAATTTTGGACATTGATGTAAAAGCAATCCCAGAACTGGAAGGGTCTCTGGCTCAGATTCTGGTTTTACCTCCTACTAGTTGTCCTATTTAAGGCTACTTACTTAACATATCTGTGCCTCCGTTTCTATATAAAATGGGAATAATAATATTACCAAATTTAAAGCTTGCTACAAAATTTGTTGAGAGTGCTTAAAGTTCTTGAGAATTCTGTCTGCTCCGTGGTTAAGTGCCGAGAAAAGGTTAGCTCTTACTATTAAACTGTTAGTATTTTACAGATGCCCCAACAAGCCTCTTGACTCCTACAGTACCCTTTCTATCATTCCATTTGCCTCCTCAGGAGAATGACACTTCAAAAGAAAAAAAAAAGATGTATTTAGTCAAGTTTTCATCCACTAGATTGGGGTTGGGGGAGTAATGGATCATCCAAAAAAATAAAGCCATTTTAAATTATCCATGAGTGGATTCACCTTGGCCGGGCCCAGCAGAGGCCTCTGCTGAGGTTCTTTTCCCTGGTAGTGATCAATCGCTTGGCCCTGGCTGACTCACCTTCATGGGGCAGCAGGAGAGAAGCCAAGCAGTGGCCTCCTGGGTTTGGGAAGTGGTAAGGAGGCCCGCCATGCAGGGCGTAGGGGACCTCTTACCTTTATCTGCTTCAACCAGAATGACCACAGAGGACTGATGGAGGGTTGGAGGGTTGCTATTATCAGGGCTAATCAGCCAGGATCTACATAGGGCACCATGCTGGGGAAGTGAGACTGCTTCATGTCCCTGTCTACCTATAGTTAACTCCAAACAGATAATTGGACAACCAGATAATTGCGGATAGACTGCATCCTAGTTAAAAAAAAGAAAATGCTAATATTTGGAGAGGGTTGGCTTATCTTCTCTTGTTTGTCATGCATATGTGATCAAGCATGACGTATAAACCCTGGGTTGGAGAGAAAGTAGACCAGAGTTGAGAGAAGCCATGCTGAGAACACACAGGGATTTTACTCTTTGCCTACCGATCCCAAGTTTACATTCACACATATGAGGGAATTATCACTCAGATTGATCACTATGATCATCTTTGTATGTGCGAAAGAGGCTAGTATTTTAAAATCGATTTAAGAAATGTATTTGTGATTTTTTAATTTGGTTATGTATTTGGGTTTGCATGCCAATTTTATTTATTTATTTTTGCTTAGAGTATACACATCATAAATTCACTAGAAAGGAAGTGCAAATCCCAGTTAAGAAATTTCAGTGTTAGGGGCTCCTGGGTGGCTCAGTCAGTTAAGCGTCTGCCTTCGGCTCAGGTCATGATTCCAGGGTCCTGGGATGGAGCCCCGTGTGGGGCTCTCTGCTCAGCAGGGAGCCTGCTTCTCCCTCCCCCTCTGCGGCTCCCCCTGCTTGTGCTCTCTCTCCTCTCTCTCGCTGTCAAATAGATAAATAAAATCTTTGAAAAAAGAGAGAAATGTCATTGTTAAAATTCAGTGGAAGGTAGGAAGCAGCTGAGCTTGCTATACCTTGATGCCATCATTGCTGGAACTGGCACTTCTCTGGGACCTACATGCTCGGGAGACATGGTATCGATAATAAATAACCGAACAACAGGATTCTTAGCTCCAGCCTGCCAAAAAATTGGAGATATAGAAGCTCATAAAATTCTAATGATCACCAACATATTAAAGACACTTTAGGAATTTAGACATATTTTTATAAGCTAGTGATATTAAGTATATTACTACTGAAAACATTCTAATTATAACATGACCAGGAATCTCATTTCAATTTTGCTTGCAGAGCAATTACAAATATTGTGTCAACCAGAGTGAAAAACACATATTTTAAGTGATTAATGAGGGAGCTTTGATTCATAGGGAAAAAAATATTTTGGATATGAGAATGCGGTTCTATAATTGATATTCTCTTTTCTGACTTTCAAAACAGGTATTTCCTATTATTATTATTAGGATAAGTATAATAATAATTTCTCCATGTGCTAGAGGGAGTGTAGAGGGGAGGAGAGTGTAAAGAATAAATAATGAAAGATACTTTTTGCTTTGTACCTTGTAATTTGGTCTAGGACAATCATCACTCAATCTCCTAGCTGGTTACATTACTACTGTTATCATCCCCCCCCCAAATTAGGGAAATGTCACCTCCAAATAAAGTGCCCATGGAATTTGCACTTTTCTTGTTTTGTACTTTCTGTGCTATTATACACCCTAAATGTACATGACAGTGTAGTTCACACCCAGACAGCTTCTTAGAGTTCCTGTTATTTTAACACAGAAAAAGAGAGTCTTATAATTGTTAAACAATTTAAGTCCACAAAGTTTAGGTTCACAGCCTTAAATGACTCCGTGCTGTTTGGATTTATCTAAAGAACTGTCCAGGCCCTCCTCTGACCTGTTTCCCTATGAGGTTTAGCTGGGACTTTTGGCTTCTTTCAAGTTGTCTCACCTCTCGGTCTGATGTCAGATGTTTCAACAACTTCGGTCTTCAAGAAAACATGAAAAATTGGGTCCCAACTTCTCAGCCAGTGTCAGTTAGTCCTCAGTTATGGGTTCCTCCTCTCTTCTTCCTCCCTTACTCCCTCCTAAAGACCCAAGTTCTTTCACATCTCGGGTCCCAAGTACCACACCTCTCGCTTCCAAATATCTCCAGCTTTCAGACTTTATACCCAGCCATTGAGGGGTCTCCTCCCTAAACATGCTTCTCCTATCCACTGTCTTTTCTCATATGACTTCTAACATAAATTTTAGACTATCTGCTATTTCTATTTCTCTTACCACAACCACTTAGACTTGCATCAAAAGCCACTTGTGTGTATGCACATCTGTCCATCTTTGTCACATATAGGGACCCCCTGGATCCATCCATAACAGTGCTCTCTTTGGCAAGTAAACACTATAGTGACTAAAGAACAAAGAAGTATTTTCTAAAAGCACTTCCACTCCTTGTGAGAGAGGAGGATATATGATTTGATCCCTTTTCAGATTTTTGTCTGAATCAAATTGGGATATGATGCTTCTCCACTGTGATCTTGCTGTTCTCCCATTACAGACACGGAAGCCGTCTCTTCAGACATGGGACTGAATGAAAAGTGTGTACACTGAGAATTCTAGGATGGTTATACAAGAAACTTTGGGCTCACTCCATGTCTAATTTCCTCAAGGAAGAAACTAGGCTTACAAACTTAACCTACCTTGTATGTCCAGAAAAGATCATAACTCATGCCTGCTTCTACCTGACAGGAACATCAAGTTCAACATTTGTATTTTCCATTCTAGTTTGCATTTACATGAGAATTCAAGAGGGAATTGCAAAACAGAACTTTACCCTGAATTTGGAGCATGAAATATGAAAAATTAAAATTAAGTTAAGCTTGTTTTTCCTCCATAATCTAGACCATATGTTTTTCAAAGATTCTGCGATGGATTTTGCAAAGACTACTTCATCCAGCACAACCAGATGTCCAAAGCAACAGATGTCCACATAAATAATAGAGCACAGTACAGTGTTTGCCTTACAATGCACAAGGATAAGAAGCTCTCCAAACTTGTTGATTCCACCTCTATTCATGGTATTGGTTGCTCATTTTGACACCGGAGAAATGGAAGCATCTGCTAAAAGTACTCAACATACCTTTGGGTATGGAATATTTATTGTTCTAGGATATTGTTCATCACCATAATAGGAATATGCAATAACTGGTATCTCTGTATCATTAAATTCTGCATATGCCAAAAATTTTCCATTAGGAGACCACCAGAGAGCATATTTTGTAGCAAGCATTTCCTCTGAAAGATAAATACAAGCATATTATTTATAATTATAACTTACTTTTAAGATCATTGTAAATGCTTCAAAATTCATTGTATTAGCCATTTATTGATTGAAATAATTTATTTAATGTGGATGTGACACGCCAAAATTTGGTTATTCAAAAAGACAATCTGAGTTTAAAGAAATAGTTTAACCTTATACCTCATATCAAACATCAATCAGTCTTCTTAGGAACTGATATTAAATCAGAAATGTAATTATTTAAGTACATTAATTAAACATTTCAACAATAAATAATTTTTCCCTTTGGGGCAGCTTCTGTTTTTTATAGTCACCTAAAGTAGCCCAAACAAGGGGAACTGTAATTATACTATAGAGTGACGTAAATGTTGGAAGTTGATTTTTCTCCTAGGAATATTAAAAAAAAAAAAACAACAACAGTTCAGTTATATATTTTTTAATAAAGGCAAAGACTACAAGACCTTTTAACGTCCAGGTGAGTCCTGGATCCTACATAACCTAGAAAGGGGACGCAATTCATGAAAGCATAAAAAACTAGGAATATTGCCCTGCAAAATTATGTAGACTGCTGTTTCGTTTTGGAAGAAGGCTTATTTCTCAAGAAAAAAGAAACCTGAGGAAATGTACTAACATAGCGTCTAAGGGCCATATACTACTTGAAATATAAATTATTACTACCACTTCATAATGCTTATGAAAATAAACTCTCCCAGGCCGATTACTAAATTTTGCTCTTTCAGAACAGGCACACCCTGTTCCTAACCTGATTAACAGCTTTCAGAAATGCCACCATTCATCTCAGTAACATACCACTCATCTCCATTTTACTAAATATATGCAATTATTTTCAATTAAAAGCCTAAAACAGCAACAGTAGAAAAAGAATACAGCTTACCTTCATACACCCAGTCTGGGATTCCATTGAATATTTTATTTTCTTTTCCATTATGTGTTATTTGAAAAGGTGGGTCTTCTGGTCTTTGTTTCAAATAGATATTGTTTTGATAGACATATGCCTAGAAGTGGTGGTAAGTTAGTTAATAAGGAGAATTCCATAAGAAATACAATGAAGTCTGTAAATTTGTATTAACTGTTTACTTAATACCTGCAAAATGAGTGGTAATCCAGATGCAAAAAAGACTCATAACTAAAGTATCGTTTTAATAGGTCAAAAAACCAACCAACTCACATTAACATCAATTACGATTTTTAAAGTCTATATCAAATAAAACATAAAGTCTACTATTGTATTTGTTGTTTTATTACCCAAATAAATAATTGTGTATATTAACAGAAAGTCAAATAAATCTTTGAATATTAATAGCTAGCCAGATCTAATCTTTATTTAGAGTCCTTAAATAAGAGCTTGGACAAAATTTCATGTTGTCTGAAGCTAGTCTGGGAAACTTGTGAAAACCATATTTTTCCTCAGCTTTCTGGCACAAAGCATTCTGGCTGAGTATGAGGATAAAGTTTTTGACTGCGATATTTAAAGAAGTCTATCCATGAGCTTGAGATTTTGCGGAATTCTCAGATGAGTTTCAATTTATCAAAACTCTTCCCGTTTTTAACCACTAAAATAGTCATGAATTTTTTTTTTTTCCTTTCAGGCAGGGAAATTTAACAAAGGCCAAAATCAAATGGCTCCTCTTTTATTTAAATGATTAAACACTTCTATAATTTAAACACTTACTAATTTACTCCCAACAGGCGACCAGCATAAATACTGAATTGGACGAGGAAGCTCATTTCTTCTTATAAACTCTCTAGAAGGAAAAAAAAAAGAAAGAAAAAATAATAATGAACCTTTGCTGTTCAATGAAAAAAACATCTTTGTAAACAGAAAAAAGTAAACAACAACAATGAAGAATCATCCTCTGCTTCTTCAAACCTAACAGAAAAAATGTGGTAACAATGGCACTAGACACATTGAGTAGTAGTTAGGGTTCTTTACTAGTTACTTAAGTCACTTAACTTCTCCGCGTCTCAGTTTTCTGACCTTTATAGTGAGGTGAATTAAAGATTTATTAAAGATTTTTAGGCTGCGAAAGGGGGGCCATCTCTAGAAATTATCTAAGGAATTCCCTCGTTTTATAAAAAAGGAACATGAGGTTAAAGAGATATGACTTTTTAAAATCACATTGCTGGTTCTTGGCAGACCCCTAACTAAACTCAAGTCTCTTAACCCTCAGGACTATAAGATTTATACACATCAGGCTGAGATGGTCGATGAAGTGCCTTCCAGCTCTCAAATGCTATAATTGTGCTGAAGTTTAATATGTACTCTTCCACATTCTCATTTACAACCCCCATCTCTGTGAATGCATATGCATTTCAAATTTTTGAAAATAAGATGCCATTTGACAATCTCCCCAGGGATCTGACTTGAAATCAGAAAAGGAAAGGAACATCTGATCTCAAGCTAAACTGAAAAACAGATCATACACTGGGCAGTATGCCTTAAGCTTGCAAAGTTCTCCACCCATGGGGAAATTTCAAATATCTTATTGGGCCAAAATCTCACTTTGATGCCTAGAGTCACCCTGCAAATACTCAATTGACTAACTTGCACTGTGGAGCCTTTGTGGTTCTATAGCAAGAATGTGTTCAAATTTTTATAAGTGCTAAAGAGTCATAGGATGCCGTGCTTAAGTTTTGACTATGATCTTCTTAAAGATTGCATCAATGGTTTTGTTAGGAATGCTTTTGTAGAGACACAAAACCAGACCTGCCTCCAATGTATAAATTGGGGAGCCTGAAGAAAGACCCTTTGGCTTCCCCTTCCGAAAACTAACTTCAACCTGGATCTAACATATGCCTGACATTTCTGCTTTTCTCTTTCTTTTAAAGTTTGGACACCCGTGAAGCCTTGACTTCTTCAGTCATGCAGCCTGAGGCCCAGCAAACCGTGAGGGAACATGGGCAGGTCAGTTTTGACTGGGGAAAGAGTAATGCCCCTGGAAAAGAGAGACTATGGGTGCTGCAATGAGAATCTTGCCTGCCAGAGGACAGTTTATGAGCAGTAGGCTCCAGGAAGGGCCAGAATATATTAAAGGACACAAGGGCACAGGCAAAGGAATGATCCAGAAACAAAGACATTCTACACCTGGTTACAGTTCTCTGTCAAGCCAGGGTTCATGCTACCTTTGACACTGTAACACTGTCTTAGGTTTCGATATGCTGTGGAATCATCTATGCAGGCATGCATAGATGCCAAGCTGAAAATCTCAGCACACAGTCTCTTCATGACTGGCAAGTCACTGCAGCTGCCATTTTCTGTTTTCTAAATAACTAACACTATGAGAGAAAGTGGAGGAGGCTGCTTACAAAGGCTGTCATCTCCTCACTACTCCTTCCCATGCTTGAAACCAGAAGCATCTTCACTTGCTCTGTGGTAGATTTTTATAGACTCTCCAGAGGCACATAGAAAACTTGGAATTAGTGGTATGTGGTCTTGCCTTGAATCTCAGCATATTTGTCATCACTCACTTCCTAAATTATGCTATATTTACCTGACCAACAACAACAAAAAAACAATCTGGAAAATTAGATAGTTGTGCGTAGAAGAAAGAAAGAAGGGAAAGAAAGAAAGAAAGTGAGTAAGCAGTGGTATGACTAAATTCACTGCACAAAAGCTAGATATTTAAAATGATTCTGGTACATAAAGCTTATACAAGCCATTATTAAAATATTAGTATTGTCATCTTCTTTTGGAATGCTGTTTAATTTGTTGAACCTCAACATAGGATGTGGAGAATTTCAAAATGATTAAAAGAAAAACAAAGAAATGTTTAAAGCCTAAGAAATTGCGCTGAAAGAGTAAGGTTTTTACTTCACTAGTTTCAAGTTTTCTTGAGAGTAGGGTTAGTGCCTTGAGTTCATGCGTATCTATCTCTCCCATATATGCTTTTCACATAGTAGGTGTTCAATAAATACTTTTTGAATTTGGTGATGATATGGATACAGACAAGAGAAAAACTCAGAGTACATTAGATGAGTTCAGATTCTACTTTATGTAGCAGTTCCTATTTTTTAATTTGACAGTTTAAGATCAGAGTTATTCTTTTCTGAACATTTAAAACAAGTAGATTTTTTTTGAATTTTTGTGCTCTTGTTGGACAAAAGATGAAATAGACCATAAAATTTTCCAGTGCCTCTTCAAGCCATATAATTATTTTTCCCTTTTACATAACAGCAATAGGATATCACATTAAGATGAGTAACTAAACCAATTCATTGTCCATACTTAGTCAGAGTGATTTTTCTAAACTATAAATCTGATTATGTCATTTCCCATTTAAAACCCTTCAGTGACTCCCTATTGTCATCAGAATGACATCTAAACTCTTCTTAATGGCTTCCTCATTATTATTTGGCCCCTGCTTCCTGGCCCTAGCTCCTTCCCAACCTTACACCACCTCTCACTAGTCAGCATGCCCTTCTCCAATTTTAACTCAACTGACCTACTTTGAGTTTCTGGAACACTCCATGCTCTCCCTTCCCTTTGGGCCTTTACATGGTATTCCTTTTGCCAGGAGTTCTTTCACTAGGTCATTTGCCTACTTACTCACTCTTTTTTTTTTTATTGCAAATATTTTGAATAGTTAAACATTACAAATAAATAAAGAAAATAATATAATAGAAGACAATTTATCTACAACCTAAATTTAAGAAATATTTACATTTTGCAATTTTAAAAACAATTAATTTTAAAATAATTAATGGAGTATGTGTTCAGGTACAACTAATATTGCATCTCCTTCCCTCTGCTTCCTTCCAATGAGGTAGCTACTCTCCTGAAAGTAGCATCTCATTCCCATTCCTGTGTTTGTACTGTTACTGTATATGTTTACTTCCATAAGTGGTGTATTTATAATTTGGTGTTCTAAAGTAGGGAAGATAAAACTGCATTGTGCATAAAAACACAAAATACTAGTCAAATAAAAAGAGGTAAATATTCCATAACAGTATTTCCTTAAATTTCTTAAGTTTTATGGGTACACATACACTGTAAAGAAGTAAGAAACTAAGATCAGTAACAAGATAATGTAGTCTTAACTTCAAATCAGAATTTGGATTGAAAAACTATAATAGATGTAAGTAGTATGAATAAATAGACATGAAATCATGAAATTTTACCCATTATTGAGGTTGTAGATGCGATATGTTGCTGTGTAAGAGTATCTCCAAAGCTGTCAGAAAGAAGAGAGACGAAAACAAATTACAATTCTTAAAAAGCTTATGTTAATAATGTATAATCACAAATCATTCAACTCAAGATTCGGAATTATAAAAGGACAATTTTCACAAGGCACTAGGAAGGATATGTTTCAATTCCAAGAGAGTCTTCATTTAAAGAGTTTTACTGTGGACTTTTGTGCTGTTTGTCTAAGTTCCAGAACTAATCTCAGCAGTGATTCAACCCTCACTCCATAAAAAGCATATCCGAAGACATTTCTTAATATAAAAAGCTTTTCTTTGACACACTCTCTCCTAAGAATTTTCCCTTTATGCTTTACCTTGATTGAAGTGAAACCACTATGATCTCCATGGCAGTAAGGATTACCCTACACCTGTGTTCATTACAATGATACCCTCTAAAATTAGGTAAAGAATTTCATTCAACACAGAGTTTTGTTACAAAATGTTTGCCTTGTTCAAATATGATACTTTTAAAAAATAATAGAAATTGAAAAATAAATAGAAACTATGTAGTTTATAATTCCTCCTGAAAAAAAAAAAAAACAAACCAACTGCTCTTTTTCTCATTAAGTATATTTGTTCGGTGGTTAGTGAATTATACAAGTATTATTTTGGATTTGTTTCTTAAAAGAGCTTTCAAACTCTTGGCAAAGAAACTCCAACTGGTTGAAACGTGTCTTCCTAAAGATTGCTAGTGACCAGGACCTGGTCCATTGGAAAATAATCAGCAGACAGAACAGCTGGCGAGAGGAAAGATTAACTATTCATTCTGTATATTAAGAGAGTTTTACATCTCACATAGGATATGAAAAATGACAGTTAAAACGTTGTCTATCTAAAAGTAATTACCAGAAGTTTAATTTGATAATAAATTATTTTGCCTTCTTGCAAAAAAATAATTATCTTCAAGTTGTATAAGTTGAAAAAATAAGATAATTAACTTCCCTCTACAACTTCAATCAGGAATGGGAAATTAAGTAAGGGTAAGTGGTTATGGTTTGGTGGGGTACTCCCACTCCAGGCTTTTGAACACATAGATTTAAACCCTGGTCTACCACTGCCTGTATATTATCTTACTTGAACAAGTGAGTTAAATAAGCTACACCTTGATTTTCCCATTTTCAATAATAATAAACTTTCACAAAGTTAAAATGTGTGAGAATTAACTAATGGTTTATGAAGTCAAATAGCTTTAGATATACAAGTATAGTTCTCCAATTTTTGATAAATATCAGCATCCCAAAATGCAGCCCCCCCCCCCCCCAGAGGAAAGTAGTTTCTACTACTGGGTGATAACCAGACAAGTACACCAAATTCTGAATTATTTGTATATGTTTCAGTTATGTTTTGGGGGCTCATCAAGAACCCACATTAACTTCTTGAATATTTAGATATAAAGATGTACTCTTGCTTCCTCTTACTTTTATAAGCCAAACTGTGGATTAGTAAGAGATATAGACAGATATACCCAGATTAAATAGTCCATACCTTTGAATAATCACTTTCTAGATACGCAAATTGCCGATCAGGTGATAAGCCATAATTTGAAGCATTCACACTTTTCTGAAATTATAAAGAAGTTGATTAGAATACAGAAAAAAAAAAGAATACCCAGAGCCATGTAAATGTGTAGTTCTAAAAGGGTATCATATAACTGATATACTCCTACATACATATGCTTTTGATGCAATTTTTAAAAATGTTTACATGGTACTTACTGTATACAAAGAAATTTATTAAACACTATGGGAGGGAGATGTGAGAAATAGGACATACTCTGTGATTTCTAGAAGCTTAACATGTTAAACTTGAAAATAAGTAATGTATTGCAAGTTAGAAAGTTCTATTAAAGAGATATAAATACAGCATTGGAAAGCATTAAAAAAAGAAGTGTTTAAATCCAAATGAGAGGATCATTGATTGCACAGAGGAGGAGAGTATCATCTGAGCTTGATTTAAAACATTAGCCGGCTTTTGAGGGTGGAGAAAGCAGGAGGACTGAGAGCCCGGGAGATAGAACAGCATGCATCTACATTTCATAGCTCTTGTTTATTGAGCGTGTATTCCGTGTTAGGTGCCATCCTACCACATTCAAATGTTACATCACTTACCTCTTACAGTAACCCAGGGAGGGATTATTCTTCCTACTCTTTAGAGAGAGAAAATGAGGCACACCGTGGCTGGCGTAGTGAGGAACCTTATGTAACTTTCCATAACTAGGGAGTTGACAGAACCCGGAGCCTCAGTTTGCCTCTTGTAAGGACTGAGTTCTTGACTCTTGTTTCTTGCTACACTTTTTCCACAGAGAAAGAAAGATGCTAGGCGATTGAGAGGAGGCAAGGGCAGTTGTCTAATGTGACTAGAAGAGAGAATTTGAGAATTTAGTGGGAGATGGAGCCAAGAAGGCAGATCAGGTCCAGATCAAGTGCTGAGTGTTTGGACTCTGGTCCTTGATCAGTGAAGAGATGGCAAAGTTTTGAGGAGGAAGATGTTGCTGGATACATACCATGGTGACATTACTCAAAATGGTATATGATTCTCCTGTTTCAATATTGTAATATACTATATCATTATCTGTAGACTGATGAAGATATTCTTGTCCTTTAAACAAGAAGGAAAACAAACTTGAAATGATCTCCCTTAATATAAAATACATTTATAAGAAAGAGAAACCTCTCTTATTTCACAGAATTACTTTGTTTTTCTTCCCTGTCCAGGACATTGCTTTGACAGATTTAAAATAATAAGTTTGACAATGGAAGGGAGGAAAGGATGCTCTTTTCCACTCTCCACAAAAATGCCATATTTACTAGTAGCTGCCCTATTACGACCAGTTCAGGGTGCTTGGGGATAAAATTTTCTCTGTGTTACAAAGAAGATAAACAAGTTTAAAATGGTATGTTTGTTTTGCAATAAAAAAAATACTTTACATTTAGGCTTGTTTGATTTAGTTTAAAACCCATTTGATGTGCATTTTATTTTTTATTTATTTATTTTTTAAAGATTTTATTTTTATTTATTTGAGAGAGAGAGAATGAGAGAGAGAGAACACATGAGAGGGGATAGGGTCAGAGAACGAAGCAGACTCCCTGCCGAGCAGGGAGCCCGATGCGAGACTCGATCCAGGGACTCCAGGATCATGACCTGAGCCGAAGGCAGTCGCTTAACCAACTGAGCCACCCAGGCGCCCCTGCATTTTATTTTTTAAAGAGAAAAATTAAAATATTCAGATTTGTTTAGTTGTACTTAGATATAAACTATAATGTCATAAACAACTTAGTTGACCTTACTATTTGTTTGATTAGACTTATTTGACAACATCCTATTTTGGAAACTTATATGAAAATATCAATTTTGTGGCCCGGGAAAGACGTTTTATCAGGGTGGGATTTGTCCATTTCTCAGATTATCCAGATTGACAATGGAATTTCTCTTTTGGTAAAATTCTTATGACCTCTCTTAACTAGGTGCATATCTCCCATTCTGAAGAACCATACAACATACTCAGATTATTCTAGCAATGTACTCTCAACTTTTACTTTCTTGCTGAAACTCCAAATGGCATCATTACTGTTGGGTAAATGCAGTCCAAATGGTTCTGTCAAAGGTGCTTTGGTGGCCATTTGACTTATCTAAATAATTGCTCTTTCTTTCCATTTCAATGGATATGGCTTCGGTTACCATAGAGATGTGTTGGCACTAAAAATAAAAACAACACATATTTTTTTAAAACCCCAAAAGGTAAAGAAATAGTTCACTTACCTGAAATCCAGTTCGGGAAAAATGTTTTATAGGTAAATGTCCCATTTAAAATATCCTTCAGTGTGAGTGCTCTTGTTGTACTTCCTTCAGAGTCATGAACTTTGGGAGAAATGAAAAACATTATTACAAAAAAGATGATTAATAACTTAAATAAATCCTGAGCCTGTCTCTCATCTGTTCTGTCTCATGTCATGAAAAAGACCTGTCCAGGCACCTGGGTGGCTCAGTGGGTTGAGCTACCGACCCTTGGTTTCAGCTCAGGTCATGTTCTCAGGGTTGTGAGATCGAGCCCCAGGTGGGACTCTATGCTGAGTGTGAAGCCTGCGTAAGATTCTCTCTGTCCCTCTCTCTCTGCCCCTCCCCCTTGCATGTGTGTGCTCTCTCTCTCTCTTCTCAAAACAACAAAGAAAAGAAAAGACTTGCCATTGCTAAACACTTGTTTAACTTCTGTCTTAAGATCTGTGTTATCTCTTTAATAGATAGGCTAATGAAGGCCTGGAGAGGCAGTTTGCTTGCCTGGAAGAAGTATGATGGTGTCCAGGAGCAGCCAGGATGCTGTTCAGGCAATGCAGAGTTGTCAGAGAGATGAGATGATGATCCAACAACTCTAGACCTTGCAAAGCTGGCATTGCAGACTAACCTAAAAACCTAGTCTTTTAAGCAGTTCATTGCATTTTGTCATAGATGCTTGGCTTGGGTTACTACTGGTTTATCAACGACATATTTTAGCATCCCCTTTGGTCAGAAGCGATCAGCCCAAATCTTTACCTTCAGACATCTCAAGAGAGGAGACATTAATGAACCTAGATAATTTCTTATCCTGACTGGGATTTTTATAAAGAGAGAGTGGGCCAGAACCCCCCTCCCCCACAAAAGCTATATCATCTATGCGGATGATCTTAAAAATTCCAGAAGTAGAGTTTTGCCATATAAAGCCTCACCTAAGGTAGCTCACAGACCACAAGCAAATTTCACCTATATTTGAATCTTCCAAAACAATTGTGTTTTTCAAACATGACTCTATTCTCAGAACACATTCATTATAGAGCTCCTAAACAGTCAGATACGCCAGATGGATAGTATGGCAACCAACTTCCAATCCTCCTTCATATCCATATTGCCATTCTCCATCCCTCCCACCCTACCTCTTCTCCAGGCCATCACTTACAGAACCAAAACTTAGAAAAATGTCCTATACCTTGAATAGCATTTGTGAATCTGGTATTTGCCCATGCAAAAATAAAACTGTTGAAGATGAGAGCTATAACTTTATCCTCCTGCTAAACTCTCTCATAGTTTTCCATAACTCTTGAGACAAAGACCAAAAATGTTTGTCTGACCTGTAGGCCCTAGCTGGTCTGGGATGGCCCTCCTGGCTCTTCTTGCCTCTCTCTCATTACTTTTTAGATTCCAAACATACAGGGTTTTCTGTTATTCAGATACTCATTTCTTTCTCCAGGGCTTCTCCTTTTTCCATATTCTCTCCTCTCATTGCTTCTATTCAGGCTCTAATGCTTAATATAAAAGACACTCCTCTGGGAAACCCCTTCTGACCCCCTCGTTTAGATCTGGTTCCCTTATTATACATTACCACAAACCACATTCTTTTTTTAAAAAAGGCATTTGCCTTGATTTGCAATCTTTTTTTTAAAAAGATTTTATTTATTTATTTGAGAGAGAGAATGAGAGAGAGAGAGCACATGAGAGGGGGGAGGGCCCAAGGGAGAAGCAGACCCCCTGCTGAGCAAGGAGCCCGATGCGGGACTCGATCCTGGGACTCCAGGATCATGACCTGAGCCGAAGGCAGTCGCCTAACCAACTGAGCCACCCAGGCGCCCCTTGATTTGCAATCTTGTATGTATTTGAGTGATTATTTTATTAATATTTCTCCATCTTCCATTGTATTCTCAAAATAGTCACTGTAAGGCCAGGGACTGTGTCTAGTTTTGCTCACCATCACATCCCTAGTATCTAGAACATAATAGGCATTTAATTACTGCTTGTTGAATGAATGAATACATGAAATGAAGAATGGATGGGTGGATGAATGGAGGGTAGTTGGGTGAGATTTATGCCCTTTTTTTTACAGGATCATTCTGCTACTAATATCCTGTAGGGCTTTAGTAAGTCGATCCTTGTCATCACAGCTTGCTCACTTGTACTAATATAAAGGACTGGACTAGAGAATGGTGATAATACTTCCAGTCCTACCACACTGGCTTCTGAAATTCGAGACTCAACATGCTCTATGAGTTTGTAATTACATAAATGTACAGCTGTGTGGTAAGAGTTAATTGACCAACTGGATAATAATAGCATCTTCAGCTATTTTAACTGATTCACACTGAAGTATATATGCTCCATATGCTTAATTAAGACCCTGAATTATTTTCTTCATTTACTAAATATTGTTCTGGTGGCTATAAGAATTCTGTTGGCTGGTGAACCCTTTTGCAACTATAGACTAAATAATAACACTAAGTTATTCTGTTTTTTAAGATATTTATCTTCTTACATTTTCTTTGAATTCTAAGTAAGATTATACATGCCATACAATTATTCATAATAAAAGTTCTTCTATTTAATTAAATGTTCTTGTGTAAAATATATACCACTGATTTTATAATTGCTATTCAATGAATAAAAGACCATTTTACTACAATAACATTAGAATACTTGTGAAGTATTTTAATTAAATTTTACTTAACTCTTCTAAAAGTAAATTGCAATCTGTTTCTAATATAGTTAAGGGGAAATTCTAACACTATTTGCAGTGGAAATTACTTTCCTTTGAGATACATTTATGTCTACACAATCCTGAACATACAGATGAAAAAAATTTTCGATTTAGTGAATACCAAAAAAAACCCTTCTTAGATAATTTCTTTTTAGAAGACTTTATTTTATTTTATTTTATTTATTTATTTTTAAAGATTTTATTTATTTATTTGACAGAGAGAGACATAGTGAGAGCAGGAACACAAGCAGGGGGAGTGGGAGAGGGAGAAGCAGGCTTCCCGCGGAGCAGGGAGCCCGATGTGGGACTCGATCCCAGGACCCTGGGATCATGACCTGAGCCGAAGGCAGACGCTCAACGACTGAGCCATCCAGGCGCCCTAGAAGACTTTTTTTATATTAATCAATAAATAAATATAACCTTGGTGGTTTATTTATTTGCTTTTATTTATTTACTTTTTTGTCTAGCATAAGTTATGCTTTGATTATGGCTAATGAGTTACATAATAGATTTTCCTCTTTAAATATCCTTGCATATAATTTTCCTTACTTGCAATTATGCTTAATTGAGAAATTCATAGCAGTTAATCTTCATTTCTATAGAAGGTTAAATTAAGTGAGCTAATAGAAATGAAACATTAAGCTCTATGCTTGGCACATGGTAATCAGTGAATAAATGTTAGCTTTTGCTATTATCATAACTGATCAGTATTCTTTCCATATTTTTTCCTTTTTAAAAAATCTGAATATAGTTGACATACAATGTTACATTAGTTTCAGGTGTACAGCATAGTGATTCAACAAGTGTGTACATTCATTATGCTATGTTCACCACAAGCGTAGTTACCATCTGTCCCCATACATCGCTATTACAGTATCACTACGTTCCTTATGCTGTGCCTTTTACTCCTGTGACTTATTCATTCTATAACTGGAAGCTTGTATCTCCTACTCTCTTTCACCCATTTTGCCCAACCCCCTACCAAATAAATATTCTTGATCAATGTTTCCCAAACTAATTTGACCACTGGAACTGTTTTTGTTTTTAAATATCTACTCAAATCACAGTAAGGAGGGGCGCTTGGGTGGCTCAGTTGGTTAAGCGTCTGCGTTCGGCTCAGGTCATGATCCCAGGGTCCTGGGATGGATGGAGCCCCACATCTGGCTCCCTGCTCAGCGAGGAGTCTGCTTCTACCTCTCCCTCTGCCTGCCGCTCCCCCTGCGTGTGGGTGCTCTCTCTGTCAAATAAATAAATAAAATCTTTTTTAAAAACAAGAAAATAAAATCACAGTAAGGGAAATGCTGTTTCAGATTAGACTATTAGTATATATAATTAATGTTCACTTTCATTTTACTATCATGAAATTCATCAGTTGTGCTTGAACATTTTGGTCATCTTAGAGCTCCATAACCGAAATATCACAATTATGATCATAAATAGACTTAGTACTAATATCACATATATAGATAAATGAAATTTATAAAACAACAAGAGTTTCAAATTATTTTTAGAATACCTACTCATTTTCCTTCTCATATCATTAAAAATCATGCTGATTCTTGTCAGATTTCTCAAAAAGATTTTAGGGATTTGTTATTTACTCTGTTAGAACTTTTAATTCAGATTATCCAGGAAAGTTACATTAAAGTGTATTTACTATTACTTCCTAGTTAGTCATTTATTTTAAATGGGTGCATAGTAGCTAATAAATGCCAATAATCTATGTATAGAACTTAGCATATGTCCTATTATGACTCAAAATATCTGAAAAGCAATTTTAAACATGTATTTATTATACTACTAATTACTGTAATGATAATAAGCCCCACCAGCACCCAAGAAGAGATGAGTGGATGTACAGAAAACATATCCAGAGTAGCCAGCTATATTGATGTGGAAATAAGTAAGGTTCATGGCATAGATTTAGGGTGGGCAATTGCTCTTAACCTCACATGTGGTATAGCCAAGGCTCAGAAGGTGTGATTATACCAGAGCCAGGCTGGGATCGGAGTAATACCAAATCAAATTGGAAAAATTTAAATTAGGCATTCTTTTCTTTCTCCTGAAAATGACCAAATGTTCATCAATGCAATGGAGTAATGCATCTGTTCTGAGAAGCTACATTAGGTCACATATTATGAGTTATGAAACATGAAGTTTACTCAGAAATTCCAATCCAGGCTTTGGTTCTTTGACATCTAGAAAGACCATAAAAATAATTATGTTTCACTACACTATCAGTGTTAATCCCTATATCAGCTACCAGCAGAAATGACCTTCCATTGGGCTCTATGAAAATGTCATTGGCTTATTGCTATCTCAGTACTTACCTGAATTTATTGTACATGAACCGTTTTCATCT